CACAGCATGTTCCCAATAAATGTCTAAGAAATGGAATTAGTTGAAAAACTGTGTCTTATTCGTGATCACGTTTGGCACTGAGGGGTGATCAAAGAGCACCAGCGTGAAGGAGGAGCCTGGGCTGTGTGTTTGTGCACAGAGGGCTCTCAGCTGGCCTGAGCCCAGGAAGTCAGGCCCTTTTAGTTTTCTTGAAAACTTCTGAAGGACTGTGAACTACAGGGCACTGCACTGACCTCCTTTCTAGTCTCACTGCTTCTTGCTTATATCCTTCTAGTTAGGGTGGCCATAAAATTGATCATCCAACTTAGGTAACTTTCAAGAGTGAAAAAGGGCACTGTTAATAGTTATGGCAGGACATTAACAGGATACAACCATAGCAAACAACACACAAACTCCAGAATATAAGCTAGGTAACTGGGATCTTCTAAAAATTAAACACTTATGCTCATCAAAAGACTTCACCAAAAGAGTAGAAAGAGAACCTACAGACTGGGAAAAAACCTGTAGCTATCACAAATCCACCAAAAGTCTAATCCTAAAATCTACAGGAAAAACACCTCTACAACAAAAGGACAAGTAATCCAATTAAAAAATGGGCAAAGGATATGAACAGACACTTCACCAAAGAAGACATTCAAGGGGCTAACAGACACATGAGGGAATGCTCGTGATCACTAGCCATTAGAGAAACACAAATCAAAACCACAATGAGATACCATCTCACCCCCTATATATTATTTGCATGAATCAACAAAACAGAAAATAACAAAAGTTGGAAAGGCTGTGGGGATATTGGAACTCTTAGCACTGCTGGTAGGAATGCAAAATGATACAATCATTTTGGAAAACGATATGGTGCTTCCTTAGAAAGCTAGAAATAGAAATACCATATGATCCATCAATCCCACTCCTAGGAACATATCCTACAGAAATAAGTGCCGTTATACGAATAGACATGCACACCCATGTTCATTGCAGCATTGTTCATAATAGCGAAAAGATGGAAACAACTTAGATGCCCATCAGCAGATGAATGGGTAAGCTATGATACATATACACAATGGAATACTATGCAATGATAAAGAACAATGATGAATCTGTGAAACATCTCACAAAATGGATGAATCTGGAGGACATTATGCTGAGTGAAATAAGTCAATCAAAAAAGGATAAATATTGTGTGAGACCACTACTATAAAAACTTATGAAAAGGTTGACAGACAAAAAGAAATAATCTTTGATGGTTAAGAGTGAGGGGAGGGGTGGGAATGGAAAAACACTAAATAGACAATAGATAAATGGTAACTTTGGTGAAGGGTAAGACAGTTCACAATACTGGGGAAGCCAGCACAGTGCGTCCAAGGCAAGGTCATGGAAGCTCCATAGCCACATCCAAATTCCCTGAGGGACTGAATTACTGAACTGAGGGCTGTGGGGACCATGGTCTTGGGGAACATCTAGCTCAACTGGCATAACATAGTTTATAAAGAAAGTGTACTACATTCTACTTTGGTGAAGGGTCTTAAAAGCTTGTGAGCAGCTATTTAAGATACTCCACCAGTCTCACCCCCTCTGGAGCAAGGGAGAATGAAGAAAACCAAAGACATAAGGGGAAGATTAGTCCAAAGGACTAATGGACCACAAGTACTTCAACCTCCACCCTACCGAGTCCAGCACAACTAGATCGTGCCCAGCTACCACCACTGACTGCTCTTATAGGGATCACAACAGAGGGTCCTGGACGGAGTTGGAGATACATGTAGAACAAAATTCTAACTCACATACACAAAAAAAGACCAGACTTACTGGTCTGACAGAGACTGGAGAAACCCCGAGAGTGTGCCCTCCAGACATCCTTTTAGCTCAGTAATGAAGTCACTTCTGAGGTTCACCCTTCAGCCAAAGATTAGACAGGACTGTAAAACAAAACAAGACTAAACGGGCACACCAGCCCAGGGGCAAGGATGAGCAGGCAGGGTGGAACAGGAAAGCTGGTAATGGGGAGCCTAAGGTCGAGAAAGGGAGGGTGTTGACACGTCGTGGGGTTGGCAACCAATGTCACAAAACAATACGTGTACTAATTCTTTAATGAGAAACTAGTTTGTTCTGTAAACCTTCATCTAAAGTACAATAAAAAAATAATTATTATTATGCCAGGATAACACGAACAAATACTACTGTCTGTGAGTTTGTCATAATGTTGTGACTTGTGTTTTTCTATGATGCTAGAAGCTATGCTGCTAGTATTTCAAATACCAGCAGTCACCCATGGTAGATAGGTTTCAGTGGAGGTTGCAGACTAAGACAGACTAGGAAGAAAGGCCTGGCAATCTACTTCCAAAAATTAGCCAATGAAAACCTTGTGGATCACAACAGAATATTGTCCAATATAGTGTTGGAAGGTGGGCCTCCTGGGTTGGAAGGCACTACACAATAGCCACAGCAATGGACTCAAACATACTATCAGTCTCAAAGATGGCACAGACTGGGCATTTCACTCTGTTACACATAAGGTCGCCGTGAGTTGGAAGGCAACTAACAACAGGAAGAGAGGCTGTCCTGAGCAAAACAGGACATGTGGTCCCCCTACCTCTCTGCCCAGCATTCAGAATGATCTTTACAAACCATGATCAGATCTCGTCCCTTCCCTTCTTAAAATCTTTCAGTGGATCTGGTCCCTGGCCACCCTCCAGCATTATCTCTTACCACACTCTCCCAGGATCACTACTCTGTATCCATAGTGGCCTCATTCAGTCCTGTCAATAAGGTGAGCTCCAATTGCTGCCATAAAGAACTTGCAGTTCACCTGAAAGGAATGCAGTTGGCTGACAGCCTCCAGCTGTTAGCACCTTCAGGACCCCCTCAGCTTTCAAGTCAAGGTCACATTCTTCTCAGGGTTCCCAGCTAAGGTATGAGCACAGCAGGGTACAAGGACCTGGCCATTTCTGTCCAATGCAAGACTCCTCTAAGTGACAATCTCTGCTCCTGTGCCACTACCGGGTTGGCTGAGACTTTGAAACCTGCATCATGTTCTAAAGGGTTTCCCTCCCCAATTCTGCTGCTTCCCAAAGGGCCCATCTGACACATCCCCTGAATCAGAATCCCCATTTTAACAAGATCCTCTGTGCTTGTTTCAGAAGTACTGGTCTAGAACTAATGGATTAATGACTAATGGGAAACATCTCCTAAGCAGAACTGAAGCAGGGATGACTATACGCTTTTGAGCAGGACAGCGACAAATCTAATATATGCAAGGAAATTATTAACTTTAATTTTGGTCTTACCACTCTCGGTTTCATATAAACCAATTTGTACTGGTGTGCTGGGTGGTGCAAATTGTTAATGCACTTGGCTGCTAACTGAAAGGCTGGAGGTTCCATTCTATCCAGAGGCTCCTAGGAAGAAAGACCTGGCTATCTACTTCCAAAAAATCAGCCACTGAAAACCCTATGGAGCACAGTCTTACTCTGACACACATGGGATCACCATGATTCAGAATTAACCCAATGGCAACCTGTGATGGTGGTGGGGGTGGATCACTTCTACTACTTTCAACATTACCTGCTGACTATGTGGCAGGCACTATACTCTGTACAGTCTCATTTAATTCTAGTGGCCTCCTCTAACTGCACTCCATGTGCCACTGTGCTACATGCTTTACATTCATTACCTCATATAATCCTCGAACCACCCTCAGTGAGTGCTACTATTATCCCCATATTACAGATAAGTCTGTCACGAAAGGACAAACATTGCATGACCTCAATTATATGAAATATCTAGAATAGGCAATTTTATAGAGACCAAAGTTTATTAGTGGTTACCACCGTGAAGGGAAGGCAGGGAGAAAGGACGACATAATGCTTAGGGGACACTGATTTTCTGTTAAAAGTGATGGAAAAATTCAGGGAAGGTTAATGGCGATGGTTGAACAACATGATACATGTAATTAATGTCACTGAAACGTACATGTGAAGACTGTAGAAATGGCAAATGTTCTGTTACAAACATACTTACCACGATTTTTTCTTTTAAAATAAAAATAAAAAGGAAAATGAGGCAACCATGAATCCCACTCTATTTCTAGAATTTTTAGGCAAGTGCCAGATACAAGCTGTTTTTGAAAAGTCTGCCTAATACCCAAACAGATCAAATTTAAATGCATAACCGAAGAGGATTTTCTTGTTTTGTTTGTTTACCTTGGAAAATAAGTCTAGATGATGTGATTAAAAAAAATTTTTTTTTAATGCTAGAAATTTCTCTGTAGCCTTTTGGCAAATGAGGATTGCTAGAATATGCCCTGGGAAGGTCTGACAGGAAATGATTGCACAATCATGCCAGTTCTGGCTGTCTCCTTGTCATGAGATTCTCCATGGGCACTTTTGGGCAGTCACTATGTAATGACTAAAGCTGACACACAGCGAGCAGAAGGCTCTCGCCCTTCACCTTAGTACAGTCTCACATTCAACACAAATCAGTATAGTCAACATCCAGTTGATCTTAGCGGAAAGGCTTTCCACACTTCCCAAAATTCTAAGCTTTGTGAAGCTTTCTTCCCTGATAATCTCTTGAGTCCATCTGGTTGCATCATACTCAGGCGTCATGTGCAGGTATGATAGCATTTTTGGTCTATAGTTCTTTGCATCACTCAATGTATCCAACACTTTGCTTACTCCACACTGAGTTTACTCCATGCCTTCCTGTGAATTGCTCAGAATAAACCTTCTCAGGGCTAAATTCTGGTCAAATGAAAACTTTAATCAGATTTTTACATTTACATTCATCTAGTTATATAGCTTAAATAATAAAAGCATTTGCTGAAGTCTTTATTAGTACTCAGGTTTTATTATGGCTTTTAAAAAATAATACTTAAAAGTGCACAATGATTAGTCAGGCTACTCTATTTAGGGACAATTAAATACAAAACATTTCCAGTAATAAATTAGTCACCTGCATATAGGTTCAGGTTACAAAATATCAAATAAGTACTGGGAAAAATTTATTTTAAAATTAGCTCAATTTAGGTATGAAGCCATTTTATTTAAATATCTAATTTAAATCTTCAGTATTTCATTTATTTTATGCGTTAATTCCATTATAACAGGTTCTATTCCAGTAATTCCTAGATCACCCCAGACAAGATATAAAAAGAATTCCACTCCGGTCAGGACTAGAAACTTCTGTTCCCAACATAGGAGCCAGAGTAGGAAAATAATTCACCAATCCAGTGGCAAGGAGCAAATAATACTGCAGTTCAGAATAAGGAGTGCACAGCTGGGAATGTTCACATTCTGATCCCTGAGCACTTCATTTCAGCAAACAAGCTCTGACTCCTTTCAAAATCCAGCTTTGGTTGAGAAGTAGTGGGATCACAGACACATACACAAATGCTGAGGTGAAAGGCACTGACAAAAGTACCCCAAACAAGGTTAGAGTTTTCAGGTGGTGCTTTTCCTTCAATAACAAATACACTCAGAAAGTTCTTTCCATTTCGTTGAATTGTCACGACAGTGTACCAAATCTTCTTCCACTAGGCCTGCTGGGCCCAAAAAAACCGATCACATTTTTCAAGCATGCTTTGTATCAAGGCTCTGAAATCCCAAAGAAAGAAACAAGCAAAATTAGTTGTTATTGTTCATTCTTCATTTAAAACCCACAGAGAATTACAGGATTAAAAAGCTGACTGAGGCAATTAAATATTTGGTACAAATAATACAGAATCAAGTACATATTAAATTTGGGTATTCAAGTTACTCCAAACACTGTCTTGGTCACGATGCTGAATGAAATATTTAACTTTTTCCATTAACAGGTCTCAGTCCCCTCATCTGTTACTGAGGAACTGGATGATCTCTATAATCCCATCTACCTCTGAAAGTCTGTAGGGTTTTACATTCTCCAAGCACCTATGGAAAGGTCTTTACAGACATGCATTACCTCTGCCTCTTCTCAGCAATCCTCAGGATATTGCAGGTTCTGGTAAACCTCTCTGACAACTCAAGAGCCAAACCACATTCCTGTAGCAGAGACCAGGCCTGATCTGGGCCCATAGCCTTAGCTAACAGGAGCGCCACATTCTCCACATTGATGGGAGAAGGCCCATCACTGAGGTTCCCATTTGGTGACTCCTGGAGGGCTGGCCTGGTGCTCTTGTTCTGTACAAGATGTAAGAGAAGCTTCCATTCCTCCATAGTCTCAGGGATCCAACCTACACACACACATACACAGACATAATGTTGGCTCTGACTGCTCTTAGTAATACTGCCTGAATATAGAAGATGATCAAAGTTATACATGAACATGCTTAATACAAAAACATACACATATTCAAGAACATAATCTAACAGAAAGTTGTTTTCTGAATACACTGAATAAATATTTCATGATAAAGAGTAACCACAATATCAGGTTCAACATTCTTGTTGTTGTTGTGTGCCGTCGAATCAATTCTGACTCATAGTGACCCTACAGCACAGAGGAGAACTGCCCCACAGGGTTTCAGAAATTGTAATCTTTGCAGAACCAGATTGCCAAATCTTTCTCCCACAGAACAGGTGATGGGTTGAACTGCCCAGCTTTCAGTTAGCAGCCCAGTGCTCAACCACTGTGCTATCAGGGATCCTTATTCTTTCATTTACTCACTCAATAAGTAATTAGTCCAGGACATACTCTATGACACGCACTAGATACACAATCAACAAAACAGATACGATCCCTGTACTCTTGTGGAGTTTACAGTCTAAAAAGAGAACAGAACTTAAACACATACATGCTTACAAAATGTGCTAAGTGCTGAGAAGAACAAGGAACCATTAGAATGGAAGAGGGAGATCTAATTTTGTTTGCAGGATCTGAGAAGAGCCCTATGAGGAAGTGAACATTCATTTAAGCAGACAGCTGAAACATAAGACAAGCTCAGAGAAAGATATGTGCATGTGATCCGTATACGTGCAAACTTGTGGGAGAGCATCAAGAATGGACGGTCAAAGAGCACACATTTCTGAGAAAGGAAACACGGAAGATGACTTGAGACAGAAAAGAACTTGGTGAGTTTACCCAATTCAAAACAGGCTTATAGTGCACAAAAGGAGAAGTGAGTAGTGAGGATGAGATGATGGGGCCAAGCTTTGTGGTCCAGTTTAAGAATCTGGATTGTTTTCTGAGTGCAATACAAAGGGTTTCAAGAATGGGAGTCATATAATCCAAGTTTTGTTTTAAAAGAATCATTCTGGCTGTTGCATGGAAAATGGATTGAAGATGGGCAAGAATGCAAGTTAGACGACCAGGTTACTGCAGTAGTTTAGGCCAGCAGCTAGGACCAGTGATAGTGATGGTGAAGAAGAAAGTGGACGAATGTGAGATAGGTAATGGCAGCAAAATCAACAACTCTTGGAGAGTGAGTGACATGACTTGTGAGGAGAGAGGAGTGTCAAGAAAAGACTTTCATTTAATACAACAAGGGTAAGAATCATTTTTGTTATCATTAATGTTCTTATAATATTAACAAAATATTAAAAGTACTTTCATCTGACGGGAGGATTTTAGGTGATATTTATTCTCTTTATTCTTCCCTAAATTTTCTGTTTTTCCTGTAACAAACACATTATGTTGTCACTTTAAAAACATAAACCATTTATAGCTTAACTTTTCTGGTTATTTTTCAGAAATGTATGCATGTCTATAATTCTATTCCTACAAACCACCTGGTCCTCTCATTTCATTTCAGAAACAAAGATGATCTCCACAGTTATTGCTACAGCTATGACAAATGAAGCCAACCCTTGCCAGTCAGTTGGCTTCTTTGTTCTGCCTCTGACTTTCTGTCTCCCAGGCCAACAGGGTTGAAAAAGGCAGTAGGTCACACTGCTGGATGAAGCACCTTGATGTCAAGCTCCTGGCATTGAATAATGCAGCACTACAAAACAGGCCAAGACCACCTATCTGAATGCAGGACAGACTCTCAGACTTCAGGTTTCTGTGTGTCAAAGTCGGTGTTCTGACTGTCATTTTACTTGTGTCGGACTGATTTAAAAAAAAAAAAAGAAAGTGTATCTAAATATGTATGAAGGCTAAGGAGTTTCATCGCTACTTCGTTTAAGTTCATCATACTTATCTCTAACACTGGATTTTCTGTGAAAAGACAGCACGATACAGGGAAAAGAACATGTCACAGGCTTTGGAGATGGTCAGACCTGGGTCTGAACACTAGCTCCAGCATTCACTAGCTGTGTGACCTTGGCAAAATTAATTGTTCTTTCTGGCCCTTAATTACAATATCTGTAAATTGGGAATTATAGTAACTATCCAAGGGTTTGCTGTCTCATTTAAAACAGTGTATGGAAAGTAGCTGGTATACTGTCTAACACATAGTAGTCACTCATCAAGTAGAAAAGTTGCCTGTAGTTTTATTCCTAATTACGATTTCATAACATATCAAGTGGTACAAAATCTATGGAGCAGTTCTACTCTGCACACACAGGGTCTCCATGAGTCGGAATCAACTCGACAGCAACCGACAACAACAAAAATAAAAACTCCACAATTTGACAGATCACTAGAATTATACACATGACCACTGAAATGTTCACCCTATTTCTTTATTGAAAAATCTGAAGTGGTTTCTAAATATTATAACCAAGAGTAATCAATTGGGATTTACATACCATTGTCCCCTTCCATCAGACTCATATCGTTCAGATGCACAATGTTAGTGAAGGCCTCTCTTCTTCTCTCCAGCTCCAAACAGAGAGTAAGATATCCAGTCCAGAAACTTAAAAGAAATCAAAGTTGAGGAAAGGGACAAAAGGTGGTGAATTTATTTAGACCTATGCTGTCCAAATACAGTAGCCACTTGTCACAGGTGGTTATTTAAGTTTAAATAAAATTAAAAAGTCAGTTCTTCAGTTGATTTATCCATATTTCAAGTACTCAATGGCCACATGTGGCTAGTGGCTACTGTACTGGACAGCACAGTAGAACATTTCCATTATCAAAAAAAGTTCTACTGGATGAATGTCATTTAAAAGGTTTAAGAAAAAACTAAAAGCTATTAATAAATACAGACATTTGAGGCCAAACACCAATCATAAACATTTAAGCTCATACCTTTATAAACTTTAAGATTCAACACCAGATTTGCATATTTCATCTCTAAATTATATGCAAACCTTAGAAGTTCTCCTTGACTCTCCCCTCTCCTCCATGTGCTACATCCAGTATCAACAAGTCCCACTATACCTGTCTTTGAAATGTCCCTTGATCTGCTCCTTCTGCTGCCTTCCTAATTACCAATTCACTTATACCAGAATTACTGCAATGGCTTCCTAGCTGACCTTCCTGTCTCCAATCCCTCTTGTGTATAACACCAGGAATGATCTCCAGAAAACATCAATTTGATGACGTCATTTTCTTACCTAAAAGGGTCTCTGACCAGATCAGTTGTTGATGACTCGATTCCAAATCACAGAGATCTCATGTGTTTTCAAGGGCTGATTTTTCAGAAACAGATGTCCAGGCCTTTCTTCCGAGGTGCCTCTAGGTGGACTCGAACCACCAACCTTTCAGCTAGTAGCTGAGCACATTTAACCATTTGCACCACCCAAGGATAAAACAGGTCTCTACTGCTAATTAAATTCTTCTGACCAGCTTTCAAGGTCCTCTATGATCATGTCACCCATCCCCTGGACAGTCTGTCATTATCTAAAAGGAGCAACTGCTGCAGTCACCCAGGTCTCAGTAAACAAACATGTATTAAGCGTCTACCACTGCACAAATTAGGCATAAAGAGAAAAAGGGAAGACACAGGTCACTATCTCCAAAAGATTATAATCCTGGTGGAGTGATAAAACAATATCCCTGGCAATAAATGACTAATATGTGGTACAGATAACAAGCACTATCAGTTTTTCATGTCTTTGTGCTTGCTGTTTCTCTCACCGAACCTGCCCTCCCTCCTGACTCCTTTACAAATCTAAATCCTACCCAGTCTTCCGGGCTTACCTCCACAATCTTGCCTCCTCCCTGAGTCCTTCACAACTGATTCCCCCACAATCTCACCTCCTCCCTGAGTCCTTCACCAGTGATTGTTTCACAATCTCACCTCCTCGAGTTCTTCACTAGTGATTCCCCCACAATCTCACCTCCACCCTGAGTCCTTCACCAGTGATTCTTCCATAATCTCACCTCCTCTCTGAGTCCCTCACCACTGATTTTATTGAACCCATTCCCTTCTCAGAAACCACATATCAATTTTAACTAGTATCACATAATCTGGTGCTTAGTTAAATACCATCTACATGCCTAAAAACTGGGGTTAGCAACTAGGCTGGAGGCCAAGAGGGAATTAAACCCGTTGCCGTCAAGTTGATTCCAACTCATAGCGACCCTGTAAGACAGAGTAGAACTGCCCCATAGAGTTTCCAAGGAGTACCTGGGGGCTTCAAACTGCCGACCTTTGGGTTAGCAGCCGTAGCACTTAACCACTACACCACCAGGAATTCCATAAGGGAATTAGCCAGGGTGACTCTCTCCTACACAAAGAAAAATTATACACAAAATTTAAAAGAAAATAAATGCTTGCTATTATTAAAAACAAAAATACTTTTACTTTTATGCAGCAAAGAGAATTCCCAAAGATAAAACATATCAATTCAAGCTTAGCTAAAAAGTTATTAAATGAAATGACTCTCCTCTTCACCTTAGCTTCTAAGAAAATTCTCACTTACCCACAAGACCTACAGATGTCAGTCATTTTTTCTTTGGTTGTAAAATCTGCAGGAAGTTTAATTAGATGAAGAATCAGCTGACTGTACGCCCAGGAAAGTAAGTGTGAATGTGGCCTGTTAAAGGAAGAAATAACAGTAAATTAGATGGGAAGTAAACTCTACAAATGCTTATTAGTCTTCTAATAAGTAAGAATAGAGTTTAATTATATTTGCTTCATTATTATAATATTTTCCAAACATTTCTACTTGGCTTTTAGAAAACTAAAAATGTTTATTTTTCCTGTAACAAACACCTGTTCATTTAAAATTAGAGATTTTAGGGAATCAAAATTACGGACAGCCATTGTATATCCTTCCAGACCTTTTGTCTATGCATGTAAGATAGGCATTTTGGGCTTTTAAAAAGTTTCTCATGGAGAAAACACAAGGAATATTTCAGATACATTCTAAGAATCAGGGTGCATTTTTTTGTGAATTCCATTTTTTTTTTTTTCATCTTAATCAGGGGGTTATGCTCAGAAATCTCTTGGCAAAATTTCTAAGAAGAAAACACACATGTGCACACACACAATATTTTCTCTCTCTAACCCAAGTCTACTAATCAGGGTCTCTTAATGTGGGTCCATGGAAGAGCTTCAGTGGGTCAGTATAATTTTCTCAAACCATGTGCTAAATTTTCCACAAATGTGCATTTTTCTGAGAGGAATCATCAGATTCTCAAAAGATCTGTGGCCCCAAACGACTAAAAACTAAACTCAATCTCATTACTACCATGATTTGCGTCAGTCTCTTCCATCATAACAGTTCTTGAAAGTAAGCCCAGAATATTGTACGTGACTAAACCATTTCCACTCCCAAGGAATTTAGGACCTTAGTGAAAGGACTGTTCCATACCTGGGGTATCCTTCATTATCCACAGTGCTTGTGCTTGGTGGAGCACCGTGGGACACTGCCAAATGCAGCCAATCCAATCTTAAAGATTCTGGCTGTAGAAGGGACTCAAGGAAAGATGGCCTAAAAGAAACGTAAGGAGAAAAATCACCTACCTTCATATGAGAAAGAAAACATGAAGTGTGGGCATCTGAAGAAAAATTAATTATAGGATCAATATTGTGTATGGAAGAACTAGGAAACTCTTCCGGTAGAAAATGTCTAGAAATGCTGGTGAAATTATAATAGTCATTTAAATGCACAGTTGTGCCAAAAGATAGTAAGAAAAATGTGAAAGGGCCAATAAAAAAGGGAGGGGGGTGGGAGATAAAAACCAGTGTGGCCAATATGAATCATCAGAGAAAGAAAGAGACAAAGGGAAGTTGCTAGTTTCAACAGCCAAGGGGCATGGTGTTTACAGCCATGTGGAGATAGGAAATGAGGCCTCAGCCTAAAAAGAGGCTAAGACTTGGAACTGAGATCCACCCACAAAAAGCTGGGATATCGTCAATAAAAAGGCAGAAGTAAAACTCCACTCACTGGCAGAAAGATACAAGGAAGCTTATCTGTGCTAGCCTCGGCTGTGAGGCAGGGATTTAATTTTACACTGATGATTTGAGAATCCCTGAAAAGGAGCTGGGGAAGGGAAGTGTAGTACGTGCGTGTTTTTGGTGTGTGCTGCGACTGTGGAAGAATGGTATGAGACTGCCAAAATGCCCCAACTCTGTGGTAGCTAACAGTCAAAAATGTTAAAATTGCTTATAAAAGAGTAATAATGCCCTATCAAAAGAGAGGGAAGAGCCTGCAAACCTGTTGTCTTTCTCACCTTTGATCTTCAGGTCTTGATTTTACCAGACTGTCTAAATAGGCCAAAAATTGAGCGGGATGATTATGACAAAGTTGTATGATATCCGAAGGCAAAATGGACGGGTAAAATCTGATTAAGGACCGAAGGGCAGATTCCCCAAACTTCTCATACAACCTGCATTTAAAAACAAAACACTTTCCACACCAACAGCAGTGAGATGATATTTTAACTTGCTCACACAAAGTACTTTTTAGAAATGAAAATAAACACACTAATAAGGAAACAAGAAACTGCCCAACATAAAATTAGTAAAAATTTAAAGACTAAGATAAAAAAAAAATGCACGTGCTTTAGTTCATATAAACAACATACAGGACAACCTACCGGGTAGCATACGCAATCAACAAAGGACTATCAAAAGGGACTGAGTCATCTAGTAACTTCAGTCTTGTTGGTAGGTCTCCTTCTTCCATGGCCACATACGTAGGATTGGAACTTGCCATTTCTGAAAGAGAAAGCACTTTCTTTTCCCTTCATTTCTTAGTTCTATATATTCATTAGCACATTCATTCTACAATCATTAATCATGCACCTAGTGTGTGCCAAGGCCTAAAATCTATTAAGCAATGTAGAAGAGACAAAAAAGAACAAGATGAATTCTCTACCTTTAAGGACTTTAAAATCAAATTGGGAGGCAAAGCATATTAAAAGTTTTAAACAGGGAAAAGAAGAAACACTTAAGCATCTGGGGAGGGTGTGTATCTACCATTCATGTCAAATTGCTTAGTTTTTTCTAGAACCACTGCCCCTACTCCATCTTTTAGAATAGAATAAAGTAAAATAAATTTAATTTAAAATATCTGATCCACTTTTTAAAATATCAGTCACAGCAAATCTTCATCTTCTGAAGAAAGATTTAAAAGTGATTTGAATTCAATTCTGGTGAATGAAGTGAGTGATAATCTAGTTAAAACTATTTGAAGTCAAAAAAAAAAAAACTTAAAGTATTAAAATTCATTTTTTCAAGAAGTTCTCAACTGCCTCTGAAGACAAATACCAAAGAATGTTGTCAAAGCTGTTTTCCATAATAACATCATTAGAAGAAGTGTAGACTGTTCAACAGACCATTTTTAAAGAGCTAACCCTCAACTACTGATATATCTATTTTTTTTAAGTCTCATTTTTCCCAGTCTGTGTCACTGACTCCCATTTGACTGTCAGGCAATAAATACTTAAAAGAATCAGAAGAAGAGACCACCACTTAGAGATGGGAAAGTGAGGGAAGGCTTTATAATTGGGTGGGAGCTAAGCTGGGAGCCAAAGCATACTGTGTCCACCTAAATTCAAGCAAGCAGTTGTATCATCTCAAACTGTCCATCACATAAGTACACAACAATCACTCCGGTTGATGGAGACTTCTCTGCTATCTCCTGTGGTTAGAGCTGGGTATGAACACATAGTAGAGACAGACACAGCAAATTCCCTGTGAATGATACATTTGAACCTACGTGAAGACAAATAACTTATTTCTAATTTCACATAAAAAACAATCTACCTTTTCAATTCAGAAACTAAGAAAATGAAATCATTTTCTATGCTTTTAACTGGCTAAATGTGAATTAAAGCAGAACTGTGTGTATATATACATACACACAAAAACATACAGATATATACACAGAAACACGTATATATACAGAAACATGTAACATGTATATTTACATACATACATACAAAACGTACGTACGTAATATGCATGTATTAACTATATATACAAATATATATGTGTGTGTGTACAGAAGCCCTGGTGACGCAGTGGTTGAGAGCTGGGCTGCAAACCGAAAGGTTAGCGGTTCGAATCTACCAGCTACTCCTTGGAAACCTTATGGGGCAGTTCTACTCTGTCCTATAGGGTCACTATGAGTTAGAATCGACTCAACTCGATGGCAAAGGGTTTGGTTTTTTTGGTTATGTATAACTATATAACCATGTTTCTATAAATTAAAAAAATCTTAAAGTCAGATAAAAACATATTCCTACCTGTTTAGTAATGAATAACGAATTTTTCAAAAGTCTAAATCACTCATCAGAAACATGGCATCTGTCACTCAACAGGACTTTGAATTAAGAAGATTCACCTCTTCAAAAACATGGGCCTATGCAGCAGAAAGGGCATGCATGGCCTTTGGGATATGAAAGTTGGTTTCAATATCCGGATGACAAACATTGTGACCTTTCAGTCAAGTCTAAGGTAGGGACTGCCGGCTGTCCACCAAAATCTCTGAGACAGACATGTAAGCTCTTTACTCATATCTGTTCTCTTCCTCTTGGATCCATAGACAGGATACACTTCCCAGCCTCCTCTGTAGTTAGGTATGATCATGTGGTGGAATTCTCATCAAGGGAACATGAATAGATGTGAACTACTACCAGGCTGGATCTATGAGAGAGCACGTTTGCCCCTTATATGCTCTTTCCCCTGGACATAGCAACCCAATCTCAACAGTCAGCCCAGAGAGATGATGATGTTCAAAAACAATGGCAAGTGCCTGGAACCGTGAATTACCATGTGGAAAAGAGGTACCTGCTGGCCTGACACTCATGTCCTAAAATGTTATACAAGCAAAAAATAAACTATTATATCTAAGTAACTATAACATTGTTATATCGTTTTCTGAAAGCAACTGTGAGAGAAACAAAACTAACTTCTTACAATACAGTTACAAATTAAACCAATGTTTGAAAAGCTATTAAAAATTAAATTGCATGGAAACAGAATGAAAGATTGACTAGAACAGAGGTGATTTTCTACTTAAATCTTTTTTTAAACTCCAAAAAATCCAAGATGCTACTGCCAATTTATATCCTTGGTAAGGCAATCTGATTATTACCTTTCAATCCTTCAATAAAAGTATCCCAAACACAAGGGCTGCTAGCATAACTAAGCTTGATACTCTCCTTTGCTCTTTTCAAGTCCAGGAGAAAAAAGTACTTCTTTAGGAACTGACAAGCCAGAATTTCAGGACAGCACTGTTGCAAAGTGTGGTCCAAGTGTCCATTTGTACATTTGATCTTAGAATTCAATACATTCAACTCCAAACACAACGTTGTCAATTCAGCCAGGTCCTTGCGAAGGCCATTTGCTATGACACATGGAGAACATACTTGGAAAATGTCATCTGAGGGCTCCCTCAGACTATCTACAGACTCATGTTCTGCTTGAGCAACAGTTTCTTCATTGTCTAAAGAGTCCCTTTTTTCTTTTTCACTATCATCATCTAATATTCCCTTTATTGACTCATCAAGCAATACCACATCCTGGTCGGATTTCACAGATGAGTTGCTGGTATCTGAAATGCCCGAAAAGTCCTTCATGGCTAAAGTTTTTTCTAACTGTAAAAGCCACTCCTGTAAAACCATTCTCAGAGACTTGGGTTCAAATAAAACCAGTGGGTCCTGCAGCATGGTCCTATACAAAACAGACAAATATGAAATTTACGTTTTAGGTGTTTTTCTTAAAAAAGTTATTTGATGTTAAATACACCTAATCCATACAACATACGCATCTGGAATACATACTACTTTACAACTTTTTAAATAACAATTATTGCAGCAAGATGACAATACAGAGAACATTAACTTTGTAGTATTTCACTAATTCTTGAATTTCAATTTCAGTTTACATGACTCTGCCCCAGATTGTCTCTGGACCACTACTGATGATCTCAGAAAGCTGTTCCTATTCACTATAAAACTTTCTCATTTATACTCACATTGCTTCTGTTGTTGCTACTTTGAGCTCTTGGAACCAGTCTTGTTTTGGAAGTTGACTAGTTAGCTCTTTTTTTCCCCTAGACAAGTATGAAAAAGAAAAATAATATTCAAAAGAGACTTAAAAGAGTTCAGAGCTTTCTTAGACAAATATTTCTAAGCATTTACTAAGTGGCAGGTACTGTACTTAATGTTACATGAAACACACAGATGAGTATTAAAAATGGTCCATGGCTGCAAGAAAAGCAAGCTCAAGTCAGAAAGAAACGCATGCAACAACTGACTATAATATAAAGAGAAAATGAATGCTAAAGAGCAGCACAAACACTGTGCTACTGAAACAAAGAAGAAAGAATAATTATTCTGGTCATCAAGGGAAGCTTTCCTGATGAGGCAGTATTTGCGTTAGGAAAAAATGGTGGAAGAATACTCCTGACAGCAGAAACAGAATGAAGAAAGGTAGTGAGGTGTCAGAGTACCTGCCGAGTTCTCTGAGAGGCCTGGAAGTCAGAGTGCATAGAAGGATGTGGTTGGAAATGAGGCTGGAAAAATGGGCTAAGGTCAGACTGAGGCTGTCTGAAATGCCATAATAATAAATTTATGCTTTTTTCTACAAACACGGTAGATTTGCTAAGTTACTCTCAGGATGACACACTTTTTATTTCATCTGACTGTCCAGGTACTCTGGGTCTGTGAGACTCTTTCCCAATTCCTGGATGTGTGCTGAACTTGTTTGCCTCTATTGCACATATTCCCGGAGCTATGAGATAAGGCAGAGATCAGTTGGACACAACACTGCACACCATGCCAGACCAAGTGCTCTGCTACAACTCTACTGCATAAGGACTACATCACCAGCATATCATAGCAAAGGGCACGAGAGGACATCAATGCCAATGCTCTCATCTTACAGGCCAAAAAGCACTAGTGACTTACCCAAAGTTACATGCTGGTCAGAAGCAGAGCCAGGACGAGGCCTAGGTCCTTGGTCATTCTACTCTTAATCTAATACCCCTTCTCTGACATCCAGAAGTTTAAAGAGTGGAAGGGGGGATGGCTTTGCAGGGCAAAGAAGGGAGAGGTACAAGATTAAAACTCGTTCGATTTGCTCTGGGTTGAAGTTACTTTCCAACATCCTGTGGGATTCATGATTTTTATGAGCTGTGCAAACAATCTACAATGAACAGGATCATACATGCACCTTCTCCAACAGGACATAGTCTATGCTTTCTTCAAACTGGCAGCTGGCTCCTCCAGAATTTACATAGATTTTTTTTTTTATAGGCAAGGGCTTACACAGTGTCTTCCTCTTTTGGGCAGGTGACTGGACTCATATCCTCTTCACATGACTGCTCATCATCCCTGGGTTCTGGTCTCACTTTCAGATCAGGGCTTGTGTGAAGTGTGCCAATCTTCTCAGTAGTTTTACGCACAAAGCTAGAAACACTGGAAGCCAAATTAAAAAAAAAAAACTAACATGAAAAATATCTCAGTTCTGCCAACATTAAAAATTCAGTACCTGAGTTCTCTATGGTCCTACTAGTCCCAGGAGGGCAGCCTGGACTTGACAAAAAGAAAGACTCTGTTTATAGTAACTTCCCTGATCATATATACATATATATATTACATAAACCAAAAACATTGACATTGCCGTCAAGCCGATTCTGACTCATAGCGACCCTATATGACAGAGCAGAACTGCCCCATAGAGTTTCCAAGGAGCGCCTGGTGGATCCCAACTGCTAACCTTTTGGTTAGCAGCCGTATAACCACTACACCGCCAGGGTTTCCTACATTACTTAAGGCCCATGTGAAATGCACAATATAATGATTTACTTCATTTACTAAACTGTTCTGAGAAACCAATTACTCAGTGCTAAAGAAAAGGTCATTAACAACAGTTGTATCTGCAATGTTTCTGTCAATTTAAGCAAAGTAAGCCATGTGATCATCTGCCCCTTCCTGGCCACAGAATAACAAAGAATTTTTTCATAGAAACTCAGTTGCTGACTAGTCACAATACACCCTTCTTAAAAAGCAAAATGTGTATCCAGTAGGACTCAGATAATGTCAAGCAGCAGCACAATGTCTTCTCTTGCAAACTCGAATGCTAAAAAGAGTTCCAAAAAGTCTCTCATTCTGAGCCCAGGCTGAGAAAAGATCAAGAAATGACTAACGATATATGGAAACTGTTCTCATCAAAAATGAGGAAAAACAGATTTTTAAACTTTTGCTCTGTCTGGGGGAAAAACACACTTGTAACAACTCAAATATCTAGTTTTTCAAACAAAGAAGGAAGATAAATTTCCCAAGATTAAAATGAAAAGTTAACAGCTCTTGGAAGAGAAATAACCTAGAGAGTTTCTTTTTCTCATGTAAAATGTTTTTCCACTCTCAGCACAAAGAACCTAATGAAGCAATAGAAGCAAAACCAGAAATGGGATTAAACGACAAGACCAATTGGTTTACCTTTCCTTGACAGCTTGAAGAGACACGAGAGGAGATGGAGAACGAAATGATAATGGGATGCCGAAGGGGAGGAAACTTTCATTCTTATCTGCCTCAAACGTCACTGAAACACAGGAAACATTGTCTAATGAATGGAATCAGGGGAAAAAGAAACAAAACTTAATCCCATGGGGTTTTTTCATTTTTAAGAAATTCTGAAATGAATAAACCAAAGGAAATGAAGGATTCAATACCAAAATCACAACTGACCCAGATACAAATGAGCAGAACACAGGTATACAAGATGCACGAGATGGTCCGCATAGAAAACACTTAGGCAGGTACCTTCATTTCCTACTAACCCTGAATCCCCATAAGTCAAAAAGGAAGTTTAGAGTCTTTATTAATCTCTTCTCAACAGTTCGGTCACAGGAAAACTTGAACATCGAAAAGTGAAGGCAATGGCCCCCAAAACTGTAGTAATTTTTCATTCCTGATGGAAAATAATTTGGTTAGTCACAATAAAAATCTTCACTCTTTTGGTTAATGACTTCCTTTCTTAACCTTTTGAGCATTTTGATGCATGACTGAAATTAAGTACTTACCAATGTTAGCCTAAACATGAGGTGCAAAAAATAGCCATACATAAATCCACTTTTCTACTGGTGAGCAGATGTGTAGGTCAGGATGGAAAGTCTATCAAATTAAGTGCTAAAAATATATTAACATTGTAGAAAACTCTATGCACAAGATAATACTGACAGCCAGAAGTCACAGGAGTTAACTGCCTCTCATCAGCATCAACAAAAGACACATTCATCACCTTCATTTCCGTGTGAGCCACAACACTGCTCTGGCTGGTCCTCGTCCTGATGTGAGGTGAATTCTTTAAGTCTCTCATCTTCTGAGAGGGTTTGGCTCTGAAGGGAACAAGAGTCTTCATCTGACTGACTGCCTCTTCTACTACTAATGATACGATAGATACCAGAGTCCAAGATGCTGAAACTTTCCTAAAAATAAAAAGAAGTCAAAGTAAAGTTTTCTTTTAGAACACAATCTAGCCGTTTAAGAGAAACACCAACACCAAAGTAGAAAGTCAGGAACAACAATTACGACTATTAGATCAAACTAGTGAACAAGGTTTTAGCTGCTGGCAGCTAAGTCACTCTGATCTGCTAGTGGCATCAGGCCACAACGTTTCTCTATCTTGTCTTCATAAAGTCTGACAGTTAGAATGGGGATTAGATGTGACAATCCTGAGCTACACTGAGACTCACATTAGCATTAGCATGAAGCATCTGAAATCACATACTAGAAACAACTTATGTTGTAGGCCATATGAAGTCTCAAATCCATTTGGAAACAGAAAATAATAATCAATTACAAAACAAAAATGTGGCTCCCAAGATGCATCTAGCCAGAGTTTTCATATGGCTGTCCAACAGCTGAAAGAAAGGCCCCAAAAATCTATTACATAGAAAGAAAGATAAATTTGGGGATCCTGGAGATAAGTTAAGTACAGCCTAAAAAGGAAAAATCTTACTCTACAGCAAAATGCTTTTAAAAGCAGAGAACACCTACATGTGATGAAATGGAGCTTCTTCTACTGCTGCAAGCTGAATCCAAAGGTTCAAATTTTAAGATCAATTCTTCCAGCTGAGAAATTAGATCACTGCAGCTTGAGGGATCCAGCTGAGATTTCAAATGCTCCAATTTATCAATAGTCAAACTTTTTCTTGCCTAATAAAAGACAAGTAAACATCCATGGATACTGTTGATAATGGAATAGTTTATTGTCTACAACTAAATCTATACCCAATGGCCAATATAATGAAAAACGTCTAACATAGAAAATAAAACCTCGAAAGTGCTTTAAAAGTCTAACAGGCTGGTGAAAGCCTTAATGAGAACCACCTAAGGAATTAAGAATTTAATTAAAAATAACCATACACATATGTGTAATCATCCTTCTTAAAACAAGGCCTGAAGTTAAAATAAATTTGTGGGTATATTTGATATTGTAACAAAAACGAAAAGCATGCCCTCTTTCTTACCCACCCCTAGAAATACTTCTGTCATGCTTCCTTTGGGGATTTATTGCTGCTTTAATTATAGGTCATATAGAAAAAAACTAATGAAGACAAGCAATTTTCTAACATAATCTTGCAAGATAGGATGGCACTAACAACCCATGATAAACACGCCTAGGTAAGTTCTCTGACTTACTCTGCTGGCAATGACAGAATTTTGAAAAAGACAGCAAGTACGAGCAGCCAGGTTCCATAGGCCTCTCCTTAGGAGGTGTTCCACACAACGTTCCACAGATAACAGGGAAAGATGTGAGACCTTCCCATTTAAGTGCAAACAGAACAGCTCATTCTTGCAGACAGCCACATCCTGAATATCTACAAAAAACACAGACATGCAAGATGTTAACCAAATCATCCTTTTCCATTTTCACAAGGGCTAAAATTATTCTGGAGTCCTGGTGGCACAGTGGCTAAGAACTTGGCTGATAACCAAAAGGTTGGCAGTTCAAATCCACCAGCTGCTCCTTGGAAACCCTATGGGGTGTTCTACTCTGTCCTATAAGGTTGCTATGAGTAGGAATCAACTCAATGGCAATGGGTTTGGTTTTATGGGGTTTTTTTTTAATTATTCTAATAAATTTACTTCTTTCATATAGAGTCTGGCTTGATTGAATTTCACCTTTTTATACTTGCATTTCAACAAAGAACTAATATTTTAGACATTTGTTATTCTAAAAAGATCAAGAATAAAGGATATGAAAAAAGAATCACATCTCTCTGATTTAAAACCCTATGTTTAAAATGCTATTTTCTGTGAAAAGCAACTGGGACTTGAAAAAAGGACAATCTACATTAGAGGCCACACTATTAAACATTTCTGAGAGTTACAATTTGATGTTCAATCAATAGACTGACACACTGTATGTAAACCAATAAGCAGTTCATGAGAAAATATCTGTCTTGGCAGAGTATCTTGAAAGGACTTAAAACCTGAAAAGTCAATTCTACCCAAAGCAATCTACAAATACAATGCAATCCCAATCCAAATATCAATACCATTCTTTAAAGAGACAGAAAGACTAACGATTAACTTCATATGGTGAGGGAAGAGGCCCTGGATAACTAAAGCACTACTGAAGAAGAAGAATAAAGCAGGAAGACTCGCAGTACCTGACCTCAGAACCTACTATACAGAGAGCTATGGTAGTCAAAACAGGCTGGTACTGGTACAATGACAGACACACTGACCAGTGGAACAGAACTGAGAACCCAGATGTAAATCCATCCACCTACGGTCACCTGATCTTTAACAAAGGCCCAAAGTCCATCAAATGGGGAAAAGACAGCCTTTTTAACAAATGGTACTGGCAAAACTGGATGTCCATCTGCAAAAAACTGAAACAGGATCCATACCTCAGACTGTATACAGTAACTAATTCAAAATGGATCAAAGACCTAAATATAAAACCAGAAACTATAAAGATCATAGAAGATAAAACTGGGTCAATGCTAGAAGCCCTAATATACAGCATTAACAAGATACAAACTATAACTAACAAACTCTAGAGAATAAGCTAGATAACTGGGATGTTCTAAAAATTAAACAGTTATGTTCATCAAAAGACTTCACAAAAAGAGTGAAAAGAGAACCTACAGACTGGGAAAAAACCTTTGGCTATGACAAATCCGACAAAAGTCTAATGTCTAAAATCTACAGGAAAACCCAACACCTCTACAGCAAAAAGACAAATAATCCAATTAAAAAATGGGAAAAGGATATGAATAGACATTTCACCAAAGAAGACATTCAAACGGCTAACAGACACATGAGGAAATGTTCGCGATCACTAGCCATTGTTGTTGTTGTTGTTGTTAGGTACCCTTGGCTCCGACTCATAGTAACCCTATGTACTACACAACGAAACTCTGCTCCGTCATGCACCATCCTCATAATCGTTGTTATGCTTAAGCCCACTGTTGCAGCCACTGTGTCAATCCATCTCATTGAGGGTCTTCCTCTTTTTCACTGACCCTGTACTTTACCAAGCATGATGTCCTTCTCCAGGGACTGATCCCTCCTGACCACATGTACAAAGTACGTAAGATGTAGTCTCGCCACCCTTGCTTCTAAGGAGCATTCTGGTTGTACTTCTGGAAGTACACTAGCCATTATAGAAATGCAAATCAAAACCACAATGAGATACCATCTCACCCCCAACATTACTGGCATGAATCAAAAAAACAGAAAATAACAAATGCTGGAGAGGCTGTGGGGAGACTGGAACTCTTCTGCACTGCTGGTGGGAATGCAAAATGATATAACCATTTTGGAAAATGATATGGTGCTTCCTTAAAAAGCTAGAATTAGAATTGCCATATGATCCAGCAATCCTACTCCTAGGAATACATCCTAGAGAAATAAGACCCGTCACATTACAGCACTGTTCACAATAGAAAAAAGATGGAAACAACCCAGGTGCCTATCAACAGATGGATGGATAAACAAACTATGGTACATATACACAGTGGAATCCTATGCAACAAGAACGAACAATGATGAATCTGTGAAGCATCTCACAACATGGATGAATCTGGAGGGCATTACGAGGAGTGAAATAAGTCAGTTGCAAAAGGACAAATATTGTATGAGACCACTACTGTAAAAACTCATGAAACGATTTACACAGAAAAAGAAACAATCTTTGACTGTCAAGAGGGAGGGGAGGGGTGTGAAGGAAAAACGCTAAATAAGCAATAGATAAGTGGTACCTTTGGTGAAGGGTAAGACAGTACACAATACTGGGGAAGCCAGCACAACTTGTCCAAGGCAAGGTCATGGAAACACCATAGACACATGCCAACTGCCTGAGGGACTCAATTACTGTGCTGATGGCTCTGGGGACCATGGTCTTGGGGAATATCTAGCTCAACTGGCATAACATAGTTTATAAAGAAAATGTTTCACGTTCTACTTTGGTGAGTAGCATCTAGGGTCTTAAAAGTTTGTGAGCAGCCATCTAAGATAGTCCGCTGGTCTCACTCCATCTGGAGCAAGGGAGAATTAAGAAAACCAAAGATACAAAGGAAAGATTAGTCCAAAGGACTAACAGACCACAAGTACCACAGCATCCACCAGACTGAGTCCAGCACAACTAGATGGTGTCTTGCTACCACCACCGACTGCTCTGACTGGGATCACAACAGAGGGTTCCAGACAGAGCTGGAGAAAAACGTAGAACAAAATTTTAACTCACAAGAAAAAAAAAATAGACCAGACTTAGTGGTCTGACAGAATCTGGAGAAACCCTGAGAGTATTGCCCCCAGACACGCTTATAGCTCAGTAATGAAGTCACTCCTGAGGTTCACCCTTTAGCCAGAGATTAGGCAGGCCCATAAAACAGAATGAGACTAAATGGGCACACCAGCCCAGGGGCAAGGATGAAAAGGAAGGAAGGGACAGGAAAGCTGTTAATGGGGAACCCAAGGTTGAAAAGGGTAGAGTGTTGACACGTCATGGGGTTAGCAACCAAAGTCACAAAACAATATGTATATTAATTGTTTAATGAGAAAATAGTTTGCTCTGTAAACCTTCATCTAATGTAAAATAAAAAAATTTTTTTTTACATTTTTTTTTAAGGGACACTTTTAGGGAACTTGAGCCACAAGAAATCAATGTTGATCAGACCAGTAAGTAATGGTTTCTTTCTCTGTTTGTTTTCACAAAATAGAAAAAGACAAAAAAGTCAAGACAGGCTCTCTACTGAGCAGCAATGGTAAAAAGATCTATACTTCCTGCACGTCTGGTTAATATTTAAAAAACAGGTTGATTTTCTCTGTCTCAGGCACATACAATAACTGCTGTTCCCAAGACTTTTTAAACCCCAAACTACTGAGAAACAAAATGGGAGTCAGAATATGACTTCTAACAGAGACAGAGAATTAGGGTAATTAGTGGGTGTGGGGAGGAAGTAACTCATTCAATCCTTAGCAGTGGTTACTAATATTTAATAATGAAAGAAAATAATATTTACAATTACTGATGAAACAATAAATAGGTGAAAATTATCATCCTGAAATATTCTTTAAACCATGAACTAAAACTATTCCATGAGGTCATCTTTTATTAAATAAAAACAGATTGGCTCATAAAATAAAAAATATCATCCATGAGTACTGTGTTCCTATAAAAAAGCATCTATATGAGACCAAATGGTCAACATTTACTCCAAAGCAAAGACAAGATGGCAAAGGGGCAGGGAATCTAGATTACTGGAAATGGAACAACCAGAAAGGAAATGAGAAAGTTGACACACTGTGAGAAATGTAACCAATGTCACTGAACAAATTGTGTAAAAACTGTTAAATGGGAACTTAATTTGCTATGTAAACTTTCACTGAAAACACAACAAAATATTCTGATTTAAATAAATAAATTAGGTGAATATAAGTTTACAAACGTATGCTTGGGAAGCACCTTAGAATGAGAAACATCTATGATTTTAGTCTTTAAAAGAAATGTCATCCCATTCTATTTTTCTACCTCTTACCCTACAAGAGAATCTTCCCACAATAATTAAACCTTTCACAAGCATGAGATTAAAAATTATATAAGGTAAATAAATATAATTACTTTTGATTTCACTCCAAAGAAGAACTTGAACATTCTGAGGAATGAAAATATAAATGCCTCTCTCTGTCCAAGTCAGCACACAATGCTCACTGAAAGAGAAAATGGAAGAAGTCAAGGAAATTAGTTTGCTAGAATATAGAAGTCTATATAATTCCCTGAATTCAGGTCCTCATGTTAGCTGTTCAAGTAAAACCAGACTGTACAAAAAAAACACAACTGTCATCCAGCTAATCAAGTCTTAACATGGTTTTTCTGTCTGTAACAACTTAGTAAAAAACAACAGCATAAAAATGATCCTAAATTGGGAAAAATCAGACACCTGCTAAGTATCTTTTAAAAAAAAGAAAAGGCTGGTATCTGGAAAAGCTTAGGGACGATTTACCTGATGCTTGTTAACGCAGATAAACTCCCCATATTCGGTATGACAAGGACACATTTAAAACAAAGACTAAAAACATCTTACAGCCACCCCATTGGAAATCATGGATCTAGTGAGCTTTTAGGGATGGTAATATTTTGACTCCCTTAGTTGTGTGTGGGCGACAAGAGGTTGAAAACTCCCATTTAACCATGTGCCATGAGCTTTATTAGGGGCTCTACCTATATTATCTAACCTTGTAGCAATCTATCAAGGTAAATGTGTTACCCCTACCTTATAAAAAAGGAAACTGAGGCTCAGAGAGATTAAATAATGTGCCCAAGATCATTCAACATGAAAGTAAAAGAGTCAGAATTTTATCAACGGCAGTCTGGCTTCAAAACCTGGACTTTTTTCCTCTGTATCTCACAGATTCCATTTCCTTCCTCATTTATCCTCACCAGCCACCCCACCATTATCTGGAATCCTGATTATCCCACTAAACTGTATTCTCAAAAAGTTATTGCCAAACGCAATAATCCTTCCTCATATTTCCCTTATTCTTGTTCCCTATGCAGGGGCTCACCTTGATGACTGTTCTTCCTTTCTGAATCTTGCCTCCTGACACCCTGGGAACCTGCACTTTCTGGGTTCTCTACCTTCCTCTCCAGTCCTTCTCTGGCTACTCTTCATCTCTGCTCATCTTTTTTTTTTTTTACTCCTCTCCTTATATATCTCATTTACACTCTCAAGGCTGCTACTAGTACCTATATTTAAGAAACTGCCAAATACTATCATCTAACCTTCCTCAGTATCCATGCGAGTCTCTTCTATACATTTCCTCCTTGGTATCCCATTAGCACCAAACATCAGCTTATCGCTCAGACTGCTTTTATAAATGTTTCCAACACATTCCGTACTTGTCCCTTTCTCCCATATTCAGTCATTCCTTAAAGTCGCTCATAAAAAGTCCCTTCCTTTGGACAGGAAAGCTGGAGATAGGGAACCCAAGGTTGACTAAGGACAGTGTGGACATGTCACGGGGTTCTTAACCATTGTCATAGGGCAATATGTGTACTGTTTAATGAGAAACTATTTTGTTCTGTAAACCTTCATCTATCATATTCAGTCATTCCTTAAAGTCGCTCATAAAAAGTCCCTTCCTTTGGACAGGAAAGCTGGAGATAGGGAACCCAAGGTTGACTAACGACAGTGTGGACATGTCATGGGGTTCTTAACCATTGTCATAGGGCAATATGTGTACTAACTGTTTAATGAGAAACTATTTTGTTCTGTAAACCTTCATCTAAAGTTGAGAATAGCAGCACAACTGGGAGAATGTAATCGACATAACTGAATTGTACATGTAGAAATTTTTGAAATGGATGGTGTATCTTTGGCTATGTATATTTTCACCAAAAAAAAGAAAAAGTTCAAGAAGGGAGACGGCTGACATGTCCTGGGGTTGTTAACCAATGTCATAAAACAATATGTGTACTGACTGTTTAATGAGAAAATATTTGTTCTGTAAACCTTCACCTAAAGTACAATTAAAAAAAAAATTTTTTTTAAAGTCCCTTCCTTTTTACTCCCATTGTCACTAGGCCTCACAGGCCCTCATTACTTCTGCCTCGTGGCACCAGTTCTTCTCCCCTTCAAATACCCAACAGTGAAAGAGTTTGTATATTTCAACTTTCACCCTGACAGCTGCCTACCCCAATGTCTTCAAGCTTGAATTGAAAGCTGTCCTTCTCATCATAGCTTTAATCTATTCTTCCTACCTCACTTCACACTGCTCCCTTTCAAGAACCCTCTGCTTCACAAAACTGTGATTAGTTCCCTGAATATGCCACTGGCAATCTCCCCTGATCAGGGCTTTCCCCGACTTGCAATATTTTCATTCTAGCCACCTTTCAAGGATCAGAAGGAGTTCTACTCTCCTCTGAAATTTTCCCCACGACCCCTAACAATCTCTCCTCCTCTTGCACACAGACTATTTCTGGTCAACACTGCTCATCTGACAATTATATACTGTATTGTCACAACATTCATTTTTTGCTGTTAAATTTTTTATAGAAATAAACTCCCTAACAAAATTATAATCTTAATAACAGATAGGGTTTTTTCCCTTTATGTCCCTAAAAGTACTAAAACTGGTACTACATGAAACCAAGACTGATACATAACAAAATTGGGTCCTTGTGCAAATAGAAAGCGTTTTGTCAATATGAAAGAGCGGATCACTGTCCCTACAAGAAAATAATCTCTGTCACAAGAATCGGAGAAAATGTCAGAATCCTGGCCCAAAATAAGTGGAACTGGGAAAGCTGCCTTTAGGAGATAGAGGAAGGAAAAACGAGTCAGAGGCTCTCTAAGGAAAGAGATACAGGATCAGGACTTTGGAACTGAAGTTGATATTGAGTTTGGTAAAATACCTTAGGAGTAACAACCTAGATTAAATGGCGGTGGGGGGGGGGGGGCTTATATAAGAGTTGATACTTTGTAATAGATATGCCCTTCATCCCTTTATCCCTTCACTGATTTTAAACAGACTGGGACACAAGCCTAACAGTACAGTTTAAAAAGTCAAGGAAGGGAAAAACTTTTTATCCAAAAGGAAAGAAAACATATATGGGTGTCCCATGTGGAACATGGGGGTGGTGACACTAAACGTTACCACAGGACACAGGTATACAAGTAAAAAGAAAATAAAAGTAAATAACAAAAAGCTCTCCTACTCATGTTGTCTTTTAAAAAAAAACAACTTTGCTGAATTCATTAATTTTGCTAATATTTGAGAGCTTTCTATGTGCCTGGGACTGTGTCCATAGTAAAGGAGTTTACAACCTGGTATCCTGGGACAGATGGTCATAATACAGTAAGACACTGGTAATGCTCAGGGAATGAACAAGGTACAACAACAGTACGTGGGATCAAATATCTAATCTAAGTCTGCTGGAGGAGTCAGCAAAGACTTCAAAGTGGCATTAATTATTGCTCAAGTTGAGAAGTAGACAGAGCCAGATCATGAAGGGTTTTGTTTCCCATGGTAGGGACTGTAACAGGAGCTTTAAACAGCTGAACTCGAAGGAGTAACTCCACCAGGAGAACCAACCTGACTATAGCCTATCCATTAAAAAACATACTCTGGGGTAAGGGACTTTTTCACACCCCACATATGACACCACAGTCAATAAATATTATATATCTATCATGTGCCAGGCACTATGCTAAGCACTGAGAATACAATACTAAACAAAAGAGACATGATCTCTGTCCTCATGAAGCTTACTGTCTAAGGGTAATACAGGTATAAATATTGTATGAATGTATAATTATAACCTGTGATAAGTACCATAAAGGAAGAGTGCTAAGGGAAGAAGAGTTTTTAATATGCCTTATCAAATTATGCACAAATAGCTGCCTTTCTCCAGCGACTCTGATGAGTTATGAATTTATGAAAGTATTATATTGTCTATAATTTACTTTTAAATACTTCAGTATACGTAGTGTGCCATATATGTAAATTACCCTTAGGGGCAATGAGTTAACATTTCAAGTGTATTAAAAAACTCACAGTCCAAGAGTGGTTAGTTAGCCTTAGAAAAAACTCAATCAGGAGTCTACACTCCAGGGTGCCCTACAACAACCCCTAAATAACACTTTCTGAATCTGCATTAGGGAGCTTATAATTAGCCTAATGGATATTAAAAGTAATTTTCATTGATGAAATGAGTAGAGCTCAAGATATACAGACTGACTACAGAACATACATAGGCACCCCCACCCTTACAGAATTAAGGTGTTCGAATTCGCAAGCCCTGCAGCTGACAGCCTTTATCTGCCCTATTACTTAATATCAGATTTTGGCACTTAATCCAACTGAAAGGTTAGCTAAACCCCGATGCTAGAATACAGTAGAATCTGCCTTCAGTGGATCTTTCATGCAAGGTACCTGTCAGAGTAACCTAAAGGACAGAGAGCTGAAATTTCATCAGCTTTCTAGAACAAGTTGCACAACTATTTTTGTGTCTCCTTGCTAATAAATATACACGTGTGGCAGATCTCAATCTAAGATTTGCTTTCATTGTATCGTTCCACCAGATAGGGGAGGTTATGAGGGAAAGGGTACCTGCAGCTCTTACCTCCAACTGTCGAAACTTCCTGACAATTTTATATTCCCCAACTGGCTAAGGTCAGTTCAAAAAAAGGGAAGCACACTTCCAGAATCTTTTTATTCCTCTTCTATGCAGAACACTTCATGTAACATGGTCATTTCTGACTTTCTAAAAATAACTTGGTGGAAAAACAACTTTAAAAAGCTAACTGCCTACAGGGAAAACCAGCACAACTTGTACAAGGAAAGGTCATGGAAGCTCCATAGACACATCCAAACTCCCTGAGGGACTGAATTGCTGGGTGGAAGGTTGTTGGGACCATGGTCTCGGGGAACATCTAGCTCAACTGGCATAACACAGTTTATAAAGACAATGTTCTACATTCTACCTTGGTGAGTAGTGTCTGGGGTCTTAAAAGCCTGGGAGCCGCCATCTAAGATACTCCACTGGTCTCATCCCTTCAGGAGCAAGGGAGAATGAAAAGAACAGGATACAAGGAAAAGATTAGTCCGAAGAACTAATGGACCACAGTTACCAAGGCCTCCACCAGACTGAGTCCAGTACAGCTAGATGGTGCCCGGCTACCACCACTGACTGCTGTGACTAGGATCACAACAGAGGGTTCTGGACAGAGCTGGAAAAGGATGTAGAACAAAATTCTAACTCACAAAAAAAAGACCAGATTTACTGGCCTAAAGGAGACTGGAGAAACCTCGAGAGTATGGCCCCCAGACACCCTCTTAGCTCAGTGGTGAAGTTATCTCCGAGGTTCACCGTTCAGCCTGGGAGTGGACAGCCCCATAAAACCAAATGGGACTAATGAGGTACAGCAGTCCAGGGACAAGGGCCAGGAGGCAGAAGGGGACAGGGAAGCTGGTGATAGGGAACCCAAGGTTGAGTAAGGATAGTGTTGATGTGTTGTGAGGTTGTTAACCATTGTCATAGGGCAACACGTGTACTAACTGTTAAATGAGAAACTATTTTGTTCTGTAAGCTTCATCTAAAGTGAGAATAGCAGCACAATTGGAAGACTGTAGTCGACGTCACTGAACTGTGCATGTAGAAATCTTTGAAATGGTGTATCTTTGGCTATGTATATTTTCACCAAAAAAAAAAAAGGTGGAGAAGGGAGAGGGTTGACATGTTGTGTGGTTGTTAACCAATGTCATAAAACAATATGTGTACTACTGTTTCATGAGAAACTACTGAAGTACAATAAAAACAAACAAACAAACAAAAAAAAAGCTCACTGCCCCTGAACAAGAAACAAAGAGAAAAGGCTACCATACTTATTCGCAAATAAGGGTCCACACATATAATGCGTGGAAATTATGAAATTAAGTAAAACAGTTCTGGCATAATGTGCATATTATTTGCATATAAATACAGCAATTGTGTTCTGTTTTGTTTTTTTTTTGTTTTTTTTAAGGATCAAAGGGAGAAACTTACCTAAGATGCAAGAGTTTGGGGAAAGACAAAGACTGGGAGGATCCAACTGTCTGATCATACTGAGGTTCTGATCTAGGAAGTAAACACCTCTGTTAATGAGTTAATCACAACATAAAATAGCTTTTTCCCTATTAGGCATGAAGTTTTGCCTCCAGCAAAAAATTAAGGGCCTAACTCCTTCTGCCCTCTTCATTCAATTCACTCTAATCATAAGAATGAAGGATAACTGATTAAAAACTTTTTTGGTTTCTCTGAATGATTTAATAAAAACTCTATTTCATTCTTAAAAGGCATAAAAAATCTTTAACACATAGAATACCAGTGATTTCAACCCAACCTCTTCAATAAACTCCTCAAATAATCCCAATTAGTCATACAAATCATTACCTTAGATTAATCACAGGGAGAGGTGGTGACGAGAGGAGTTTCTTGAACTGATGTGTACTTAAAACTTCCCCATCAAAGTTCACTTCCCACATCCTGGAGCCAGGGCGAGCACAGTAGATCAGGGGTTGCTGGCCTCCAGAACATCTTCCAGGGAAAAAACAAGCTCCATATTCTCCATCTCTTTCCTTGTTTCCAATTTTCCAAAACTTCTCTCTAATACCCCAAAAGGAATAGAAAGCATATTTACTTACAAAAAAACCAAAAACAATAGTACTGGAATCAGCATGGACATAATAACCCCGCACACAATGTTCTCTCTTTTATTCATAATAGCAGTATGCTGGAAAGAACAACAAACCGGGAAGGCCGAAATAGGTTTCTGGCTCTGATTTGCCATTTACTATCCCTGTGACAAGATGGAAACCACTTTACACTAGTACTCAGTTTACTATCCACAAAGTGAGGCGCTCAGAATTAATGTGAAGGCCTCTTTCAAATTTAAGAAATGAGTCCTACCAACCCACTTCATACGTCCTTGAATCCTATTGATTGTTTCCCAAGTCATCTTGTAAAATGTTCTTTGGAGACTCCATGGAAGCGGTTACTTTACCTCTCCAACCCTGTCTCCAAGTCACTCCCCCACCACAAACACTAAACTCATTGTTTCCTCAAAACACCAGGCCTTTCTCAAACTCTATAGCTTGGATTATTGTTTCCTTAGGATTACATGAGATAGATACAAAAGAGAGCATAGTGCACTGACTGCAACATGGCAAGTGACAACGATGGGGATGAGGAATGATATCCCCTCCTGAAAACTCCTAATCATTCTTTTTGTGGTTGCCAGTGGTTAAAGTAGATTTTCTATTAGCATATTACAGTCAATAATGAAAAAATTACATAAATGTATACATAAACAATAATTGCTGAAATATCAGCAGGCATTGTGATTAAATAATAGATACCTTTTTAATTTTACTTAATACCACCTGCCACAATTGGCCTCATTCCCAGGTGTCTTTCTCATCCCAAGAAAATAAAAACAAAGTCATGTCTCCCTGTTATCCTCCCTCTACCACTCCAACACCAGCATACATTCCTTTCTCTTTTCCTTCAGTCTCCTGCTTTCTAGAAAAGAAGTCTTCAAATTGAGATACATGAATGCTCAGAGATACATAAAGACTTCCCAAGTTGATGAGAGCCTGAAGAGTTCTAAGGGAATCCCTTTTCCAACCCCGATGTTCCACATGGTGCTCTCTTAAAATAAATGTTCTGAACGAGACGGTTCCTGGCTACCACCAATCACTGCCTTGACAGGGAACACAACAGAGAGTCCCTGATGGAGAAGAAGAAACGTGGGATGCAGAATTCAAATTCACATAAAAAGACCAAACTTAATAGTCTGACTGAGACTAGAGGAACCCCAGAAGACATGACCCCTGGGCTCTCTGTTAACCCAGAACTAAAACCATTCCTGAAGCCAACTCTTCAGACAAAGATTAGACTGGACCATAAAACAAAAAATAATACTCTTGACGAGTGTGCTTCTTAGTTGAAGTAAACACACGAGACTAAATGGGCAGTTCCTGTCCGGAGGTGAGTGAGAAGGCAGAAGGGGATAGACGCTGTTTGAACGGACATGGGAAACCTGGGGTGGAAAGGGGGAGTGTGCTATTACATTATAGGGATAGCAACTAGGGTCACATAACAATATGTGTATAAATTTTTGTATAAGAAATTAACTTGAGCTGTGAAGTTTCACCTAAAGCATAATAAAAGACTGAAAAGAAAAAAAGTGTTCTGAGAACCCACCTGCTTCTCTATGTGACATTTAAGGCTGTAACTCTCAATGTGGTGCCAATTTACCACCTTTCCTATCCCTTTCTAACTTTCTCTCTCACAACTTCCCTACTCAAATCAGACAGGCAGGTTGTAGAACATGCCTGATTCTTTCTCACTTTCCCCCCACAGAGGCCATTCACTCCGGCTAGAATGTCTCTTCCTACCCTTCTTTCCCCCAAACTTCAACTTTCAAAAATTCTCATCAAAATTACTGAAGCTGGGTGTTGGGTTCATGAGGGTTCATTCTACAATGCTCTCTTCTTTTGTGTATGTTCAAAATTTTCCATAACAAAATTATTAGTGTTTTTTTTTTTTTGGTTTAATAATACTTTATTATGTTTCTGGTGAAAGTTTACACAGGTTAGGTTCCCATTAAACAATTTCTATACATATTGCTCAGTGACAATGTGCGGTGCAATGGATCACTTTTAGATGACCTTTTTCACCATGGTCTTGTAACTCCCACCAAATGACTGAGTGGGATTATACAAATAAGGTACATGGCACCCTTGTGGGGGGGTAGGACCATGCAAATAAGGTGTACAGAACTCTAACGAGGGGATTGGTCAGTTTTGCCACCCCACTGGGCTTAAAATGAGCCATCCCAGAGGTGGAAAGGGGGTACCTCACTACCACCAAGAAGAGCCAGAAGTGGAGTGCATCTTTTGGACCCAGGGTCCCTGAACTGAGAATTTCCTAGACCCAGGAGACAGACAGACAGCTGTAACACCAGAGATGGCACAAGATGGCAAGAAGCAGCAGCAGAGAAACGGCAGCAAAAGAACCAAGAGACCAATGAAAGATGGCGTGGTGGACTCTCTGGCCCATGGAGTAAAGCAGTTACAGTGGGTGTGCTGACCCATGGAGTGAGAGGGCTAAGCGCCTTTGAGCAAGAGGCTTCCTGGTAGAGTTGGGTGCCTCCAGGCACTTGTCAGTGGAGCTAGGCTTGCCAACCCATGGAGCAAGAGAGCTGAGTGCCTTTGGGCAGGTCGCCTCCAGGTGGAGTGGGGTGTCCCTGAGCACTTACTGGCAGAGCTAAAGTGCTCTGTAACACTTGCCCAAGCAGGGCAGAGGCTAGGGCGAGGGGCCGAAGGCCAGACAGAGGCCTGCTTGCGGGCATGCCAAGAAGCTGTCTTGATCACAGAACTGTACCCTGAGTCATTCCTGACCCTGAATTGAAACCTGTTCAAACCAAACCAAACTCATTGCTGTTGAGTCAAATTCAGACTCACAGCAACCCTACAGGACAGAGTAGAACTGGGCCATGGGTTTCCAAGGCTGTAATCTTTACAGAAGCAGACTGTCACATCTTTCTCCCATGGAATGGCTGGTGGGTTCAAACCACCAACCTTTCAGTTAGCAGTCGAATGCTTAACCACTGCACCACCAGGGCTCCTTGTAAACTGTTACTTTCCTAATAAACTCCATAATCGTAAGTATTGTCTGTGAGTTCTGTGTGACCATTGCAACAAATTCTTAAACCCAGCAGAGAAGTAGAGAGTGCTGTGGAGGGACGGCTAGTGTCAGAATTGGTAAAAAGCTTGGAGAGAGGAGGTATGTCTGATCTCTGACTCACAGGAATCAGCCTTGGGTTGTTGATCTTGATTCTCCTTCCCCCTCATGAAGTTAGAGGAGGTCAGACAACCCTGCCTCACCATTTTTACACACTGGTCACATTTTTCACAATGTGTCAACATCTGGTTGTTCTGTTTCCATTAATCTAATTTCCCCACCTCCCCTTACCTTCTCATCTTTGCTTCAGGGTATCTGTTGACCGTTTGGTCTCATATAGATGATTTCTTTAAAAGGAGCACAGTACTCACTGGTGATATCATTTATTTTATGAGCCAATCTGTTATTTAGCTGAAAGGTGACCTTTGGGAGTGATCTCAGTTCAAAGTTTAAAGAGTACCTCAGGGTGATACATAAAAAGTTTTATAAGTGGGACGGCCCTGAAGAATATGGTGACTGGCCAGGTCCAATGAAGAAATATGGTCAGTGACCATGGTCTCGGGGAACATCTAGCTCAATTGGCATGACACAGTTTATAAAGACAATGCTCTACATTCTACCTTGGTGAGTAGTGTCTGAGGTCTTAAAAGCCTGTGAGCGCCCATCTAAGATACTCCACTGGCCTTATCCCTTCGGGAGCAAGGGAGAATGAAAAGAACAGGATACAAGGAAAAGATTAGTCCAAAGGACTAACGGACCACAGCTACCAAGGCCTCCACCGGACTGAGTCCACTACAGCTAGATGGTACCTGGCTACCATCACTGACTGCTGTGACCAGGATCACAACAGAGGGTTCTGGACAGAGCTGGAAAAGGATGTAGAACAACATTCTAACTCACAAAAAAAAAGACCAGATTTACTGGCCTAAAGGAGACTGGAGAAACCCCGAGAGTATGGCCCCCAGACACCCTCTTAGCTCAGTGGTGAAGTTACCTCTGAGGTTCACCATTCAGCCTGGGAGTGGACAGCCCCATAAAACCAAATGGGACTAATGAGGTACAGGAGTCCAGTGACAAGGGCCAGAAAGCAGACGGGGACAAGGAAGCTGGTGATAGGGAACCCAAGGTTGAGTAAGGATATTGTTGATGTGTTGTGAGATTGTTAACCATTGTCATAGGGCAACATGTGTACTAACTGTTAAATAAGAAAATATTTTGTTCTGTAAGCTTCATCTAAAGTGAGAATAGCAGCACAATTGGAAGACCGTAGTCGATGTCACTGAACTGTGCATGTAGAAATCTTTGAAATGGTGTATCTTTGGCTATGTATATTTTCACCAGAAAAAAAAAAGGTCGAGAAGGGAGAGGGTTGACATGTTGTGGGGTTGTTAATCAATGTCATAAAACAACATGTGTACTTCTGTTTCATGAAAAACTATTTGTTCTGTAAGCCTTCACCTGAAGTACAATTGAAAAAAAAGAAAAAAAAAGAAATATGGTCAGTGAGAATTTCCCTGCAGTGAGGATGGCTGAAGGAACTTCAGCACAGTGATATATAATATTCATTTCAAGCTGTTTCCTATTCTGTTCTGTTAATCTCATAACTACCTCTAATATACTCTTTGACACTGTACCTTTGGTCTTTATCTCCAGTCTTGAGATTTTGTTAAAGTATCAGCTTTACAAAGTTCTTATTCTTCACCCACTTTCACCATTCAGCAAAATCTTACTAAATACATAAAAAATTTAAAAAACAAAACAACTCAAAGAAGCCTTCCCTATTCCCCATACTGAATCAGCAGTTGTTTGGCCTTCTCTTAGAACTTAGTCAGATCATGCCTCATAGTAAGTGTTATGGATTGAACTGTGTCCCCCAAAAATGTGTGTCAACTTGGCTCGGCCATGATTCCCAGTATTCTGTGGTTGTCCTCCATTTTGTGATCTGATGTAATTATCCTATGTGTTGTAAATCTTAACCTCTATGATGTTAATGAGGCAGGATTAGAGGCACTTATGTTAATGAGGCAGGACACAATCTATAGGATTAGGCTATATCTTCAGTCAATCTCCTTTGAGATATAAAAGAGAGAAGCAAGCAGAGAGAAGAGGCACCTCCTACTATCAAGAAAGAATAGCTGAGAGTGGAGTGCATCCTTTGGACCCAGGGTCCCTGTGCTGAAAAACTCCTAGATCCAGGGGAAGACTGATGATGAGGACCTTCCCACAAAGCCAACAGAGACAGAAAACCTTCCCCTGGAGGTGGCGCCCTGAATTTGGACTTTTAGCCTCCTTAACTGTGAGATAACAAATTTCTGTTTGTTATAAGCCATCCACTTGTGGTATTTCTGTTACAGCAGCCCTAGATAACTAAGACAGTAGGCTTAACTGAATACTTGTTTTAAGTCCCCTACTGGACTGTCTGAGTCTCCTCTATATCCTCTCTACTCTCTAACATCATCTTGCATCCAGCTGGTTCCTTATTAATATCTATAGAATTAAACTGAGGAGTTTGGGCTAAATGACTTCTAGGTCCCTTTCAGTTTTAAAATTCTGTATTTCTGATGGCTCATGGTTGGTCAACATACCTCTCAGTGTCACACAAGAAAGATCGAGTAAGTGAAGACACAAGCAGTCTTCCATCCAAATAATCTAACTGGACAATACAGGAATCAATTGTTGTTATTGTCTGAACAGGAAACATCACAAAGGCAGCAGCTGCCTAAAAAGAATGTGAGAGGAAATGAAATTTATGTCATCATAACATATCCTCTTTGTCTTTTAAATAAAAACAACTTGAATAGCAAAATAAAATTTTAAAAATAGGTCAAAATTTAATTTGCCTGTTAGAATATCTAAGTTTCACTCATTTAAAAGTATTGTGAAATAATTTGGTGCATAACCACACAAGAAAATTAAGGCTCTGTTTGTGATTATCTAACCTGAGGTTGGAATGAAAAAGATGAAGCAAGTTTTGGAATGTCTGAGAGAGTTTTCCTCCTGTAGAAAGTAATTTTCCCTTTGGAAAAAAAGGTAAATTAAGACTAAACTATGTCAGAGTTCCAATTGTGAATGTTTTGTCTCAACAATATGATAGAAATCAAATGGTTAACTTTGAATAGTTATCATTGTTGTTGTTATATGCTGTTGAGTCAATCCCGACACAGTGATCCTACATGACAAGGTCAAACTACCACCATACGGTTTCCTAGGAGGTAATCTTTACAAGAGCAGATCGCCAGGTCTTTTCTCCTTTGGTCATCATTAGCAAACCAAAAATATATTATGATGTGTTAATTAAAATAAAGTAATTTATCCAATAATAGCGCTATCCCTTCTTTTCTGCCAGGATCCTACATAGAAGTAAGCAAATGAGAGACAAGTCCCCCCTAGTGACATAACAGCCTTGGAGAAGAGAGACAGTGAGAAGTTGATCTGCTGTGGCTTAATGACAGACTGAAGCATTCTATTAGGGTAACATGAGACTCAACCCTTCTACTCCAGCAATTACCATGGTAGGAATCCTGGGGGCCTGCAAAGTTGAGCACAACCCAGGAAAAGTCTTTAAGATTCCAATCATAATAAGTTACATCCATCTTGAGAGAAAATATAACTAGGCTTACAAGTTTCTTCTACACAGGGATCAGGAGAAGAATAGAAGTGTGGGAAACCAGTGCCATTTCTATCTCTGCCATTTAATTCATACAACTAATAAACAAGTATCTTTTCTTTCTCAAAAGCCTAGTATTAAAGAATGCTGTATGTAAGTGAACCATACATGTGAGTTAGGGAGAACTACAACAGGCAATGTGCAAATTTTTGGAGTTAGCTCACAGAAGCCACTCTACAACAGTATCAAGCTAACAACAGGCTACCATACATGCTATATACAAACAAATCTCCAAACAATTAATAGTCTGGGCTCTAGAATAGTCCCCCAAGAAATACAGCAGAAAAAAATCATCTCCTTTAATTGAAAGTTCTGTAAGAAAACACCTTATATCTCACCCATGTATATACAAGAACTGGACTAATTCTCACCTTTGCTTGTTTAGAAGTGTTGAGTTTGATGGCAGAAACTTTCCCCACATGATCACCTACAAAAACTCTAAGAATAGCTGTATCCCAACAGATAGCTGTTACTTTTCGGCCTTTGTGTTCTGAAGACACATAAATTCGTTCTGGTTTCCCACGACGCTCTTGATTTAATTCCCAAACAACTACAATACCTTGACTATAAGAATGGGTTACATAAAGAAATTTTTGGTAATGGTGAAAAAGGTACAATTTAATTGCATCACAGTATCAAGTATCACAGTATCAAGTATATCCCTGGGTGGTACAAACGTTTTGTACTCGAATTATAAAGATTGCTGATTTGAACCCACCCAGTTGTGCCATGGAGGAAAGGCCTGGCAGTCTTTTCTTTCCAGCCAAGAAAACCATATGAAGCAGTTCTAGCCTGTCACACATGGGGTCACCATGTGTCAGAATCAACTCAACAGCAATGGGTTTGGTTTTGGTTTGGTTTATCAAGTATATCAAACATATGTGCAAACGCATGTTCTTCAGAAACCAAAAAAACCAAATCCATTGCTGTGAGTTGATTCCGACTCATAGCGACCCTATAGGACAGAGAAGAACTGCCCCATAGAGTTTCCCAAGGAGTGCCTGGTGGATTCGAACTGCCGACCTTTTGGTTAGCAGTCGTAGCTCTTAACCACTATGCCACCAGGGTTTCCGTTCTTCAGAAAAGAGGAAGTAAAAAGTTAAGGTATTAATTTCTTTGTTTTAGTCACAAACCAGTATAATAGGAGAACTTAAATGTTCTAAATTATCTGTGTTCCCTTTCTCTTTTAAGGACTTTGAAATGTTTTTACCTCAAAGTAGTATTCTCCACAAACACTAGGGTAACCAACTGTCCTAGTTTACCAGGGACTGAGAGGTTTCTTGGGACACAGAACTTTCAGTGCTAAAAACTGTCAGGATAGTCCCACGCAAACTAAGATGGTCAGTCACTCTAACAAACACAGTTGTCAATTTAAAACACATCTGGAAAAGACCAGACAGTTTGAAAACTGTTACTCACCTGGTAGCTACAGCAACATAATCATCATCGTGTAAGCAACAGGCAACCTGAGAAATTGCACCTTCCTAGAGCATAGAAAGTAAAATATTAGGCAGCTTCTCAAAAATGTTGTTTATTTATTTGCTTTTAAATCTTAAGGTTTACATTTTTCCCTTATTCCAAATGAGTATCATGGAGAAATCAGTATTTATGAAAGATACTCCAAGCAGTATGACAGGGCTACCCTTAACCTTACCTTGTGTGAAAGGAAAAGCCTCTGCTTCCAGCCTTCTTTTTGAATGAGATTGAGTCCTCCTCCTGAACTGCCCAATGCCAGCCATTTCCGAGACACAGCTACGCTCGTGCACTGAAGAACAGACAAGCAGGAGATAATCACAGCCACTTAACCAAATAAAGTATCCACTGCAAATAAATTACAAGGATTTGTGTACCAGGTTCCTCCCTGTGCCCCCATGCCCCAACCAAATGAACACCATGTAATGACACTTACTCTCTAATTCTAGTGTAGTGAAAAATATAGAACATGTTGTTTTTAATTTTTTTTTTTTTGTACTTTAGATGAAGGTTTACAGAACAAATAGTTTCCCATTAAACAGTTGTACACAGATTGTTTTATGACATTGGTAAATAACCCCACAACATGTCAACACTCTCCCTTCTTGACCTTGGGTTCCCTACTACCAGCTTTCCTGTTCCCTCCTGCTTTCTAGTCCTTGTCCTGGGCTGTTGTGCCCCATCAGTCTCGTTTTGTTTTATGGGCCTGTCTAATCTTTGGCTGAAGGGTGAACCTCAGGAGTGACTTCATTACTGAGCTAAAGGGGCATCTGGGGGCCATACTCTCAGGGTCTCTCCAGTCTCGTCAGGCCAGTAAGTCTGGTCTGTTTTTGTGAGTTAGAATTTTGTTCTACATTTTTCTCCAGCTCTGTCCGGGACCCTCTGTTGTGATCCCTATCAGATTAGTCAGTGGTGGTAGCCGGGCACCATCTAGTTGTACTGGACTCAATCTGGTGGAGGCTGTGGTAGTTCTGGTCCATTAGTCCTTTAGACTAATCTTTCTCTGTTTTTAAATTTTTAATTGAACCTTCAAATGAGTGAATAGGCCATTTTGTATAAATTAGTCATTTTCACTGGGCAAAAGACCATTCATATTTTGTGTAATTTCGCTAGGTCATTCCAATGCTGACCACAAGAGTGCAAGACCAAGTAAGTCTCCAGGGGATAAAGTAACCACTTTAATTGTTTAGGAGCCCTGGTGGCACAGTGATTAAGAGCTTGGCTGCTATCCAAAAGGCTGGCACTTTGAATTCGCCAGCCGCTCCTTGGAAACTCTACAGGACAGTTCTACACTGTTCTATAGGTTCGCTGTGAGTCAGAATCAACTCGATGGCAACGGGTTAATTGTTTACTCACTTAAATCACGTCTAGTCTACATAATCAGCTCAAACACCCACAGATCTTGGAGCAAGTGAGAATGCACAGAGGGCACAGACGCAGGTCACTGCACTGCCACGTCTCCCCACAGCCTCTGATTCTTCTACTCATCCAGCAGAGAGAGCAGTGGTCGTGCTGTGCCTAATGCACTGTGGCAGAAAGTATTGGTTGGCTGCCTAACAGACATCCCCAGCCCCCTCCAACCTTGTTGCTTTCCAAGACAGAGGATGGGAAACCTAAATATTCACTTGCCAGTTCCCCTTGCAGCCAGGGACAGCCATGTGAATCAATACCAGCTACTAAGATTAAGCTTGCTAGCGGTTTCTTAGGAAGTTTTACTTTCCTAGATAAGAGGTAGAATTTGAAGGGAAGAAAATCTTTTGCTCTTAACCCCTTCTTTCTTGCTTGAGATGCTAACTGGAACATCAAGCCTGGAGCCAGGACAGTTATCTTGCAACTGTGACTAAAAGCTAACATATGGAGGATGGTAGAGCAGGAAAGATATCCAGGTTGTCAGTGGTATCAGTGGGCCACTGCACTAAACCCAGAAACAAGCACTATCCTCCAATGAGGTTATAAATGTCTTTATTGCTTAAGCCACTATTAGTAAGGTATTCTGTAATGTGCAGCTGACATAATTTCTGATTTTGACCCTCACAATTGTTGCTCATATTACTTTGCCTATTACTTCCTACTCTCCCTTTCCTCGGAAGCTAGAAAGGCGCTATGGGGTGGCAGAAAAAGTGTAACAAAGAAATTATTTTGGAATATTATTCCTAGGTTTAATACAAAGAATTCAGGATTTCAGGGAAGGACATACTTCTTCCCACAGAGCTAACTCACTTTTGCTCTGTTCCCTAAAATGGGGGCTACCACAAACTCTGTTTTGAAATAAGTTCAGTATAACTCCAATAGCTTACGTTGTTCAAAATGCAACAAGGTATACTCATTTATACTATTTTATTTTCAATCAAATACATTAGTTTCTGAGAAAAAAATAGTAAGATTAAAAAAAAAAAAAGCCCTTTGCCATCAAGTCGATTCTAATTCACAGTGACCCTATAGGACACAGTAGAACTGCCTAGGGTTTCCAACGCTGTAATCTTTACAGAACCAGACTGCCACACTTTCTCCCACAGAGCCACTGATGGGGTCGAACTGCCGACCCTTGGGTTAGCAGTCAAGCTCTTACCCACTGTGTCACCAGGGTTCCTATAGCAAGACTGCTGAAGGAGAAAATTAAAAAATTATCGTGGTTGGGAAAGAATTCAAATGATAGCTCAAAAAATAAATCAAGAAAGAGCTATGAGCATGCCACTTCAGTGTACGATATTACTAGGACAGGTGAGAACACCCATGATTCCACAAACCATAAGGAACTAGAGGGTAGGAGGCACATGTATCAGCATTTAAAAATATGGAAATGATACAAGGATCAAGAAATTCACCTTCAGACGACTGGAGTCGAGCCTCAGGGCTGAGAATAATGGATCCAGAGAATCGAACTCCGCGAGAACATGGCTGTAGGACTCTGGTATCACTGGCACAAAAGTCATTTAGCCAGAAAGTTGAAAAAAGGTCTAGTGACAGACACAGTATTTCTCACCTGAATAAAACCTGCAAAAATACAATTTAAAAAGCTCACTGTTCATTCAGCTTATATTTAATGAATATGTTCTACACCTGAGGAAACGTGAGAAAGGACAGACAAGCCCCATGGAGTTGCTCAACATCTACTTGGAAAACAAACACACTTAGATAACATTATATGTGCTAGTCTGCTCGCACTGTCATTCACTGACTCTAAAACTCCCAGAAAATCAAATCCATATTCTCAAGCCCGTCCATAATTCTATCCAACAGAGTAAGTAGATTGGATATGGCAGAATTTAACAGGGGACTTGCCCAAGTCCTTCTGCTGTAAAACAGCAATCCTGCTACATTTCTCTGAGTTGCAAAGCTTCTTCTGTCTTTATGAGTCTTTCATTAAAATGCAATTTTCTGTAAAGGCCTCAAACTGTAAGTCCTTATAAGGGAATACTGTAGTTACAGCTAACAGTTTAACAGGGATAAACCAAAAAAACCTATTGCCATAAAGTTGTTTCTGACTCACAGCGACCCCATAGGACAGAGTAGAACTGCCCATAGAGTCTCCAAGGCTGTAATCTTTACAGAAACAGACTGTCACATCTTTCTCCCACAGAGCAGCTGGTGGGTTCAAACCACCAACCTTTCAGTTGGCAGCCCAGTACTTAATCACTGGGCAACAGGCTCCTTTTAACAGGTATAGGCCTCTGGATCTCTCTCTCCAGGCCTAGCACAATGCAGGTGGCTCAATAAATTACCTATGAATAAATGAATGCACCTACTAAATGAGTGAGGTGAAGCGAGTCAGAGGTACAAAAAGGAGTAAGAGCTTCAACAAGAAAGACTGAATAGGAATAAGAATATCCGCTGCTATCGAAGTCAATTCCAACTCATAGTGACCCTATAAGACAGAGCAGAACCACCCTATAGGGTTTCCTGTAATCTTTATGGAAGCAGCCTGACACATCTTCCTCCTGCGGAGTGGCTGGTGGGTTAAACCATAGACCTTTTGGTTGTCAGCCCAGCGCTTAACCAATGCACCACCAGGGCTCCTAGGAATAAGAATACAAAGTAGACCCATTGTTGTCAAGTCAATTCCGACTCATAGTGACCCTGTACGGAAGCAGACTGCCACATCTTTCTCCTGTGCAGTGCAGCTAGTGGGTTCAAATGGCTGACCTTTCGGTTGGCAACTGAGTGCTTAACTACTCTGCAAACAGAGCTCCTAAGAATACAAGTACCAGAACCAATTGCTATCGAGTCAATTCCGACTGCAAGTGGCCCTACAGGACAGAGTAGAACTGCCTCATAGAGGTTCCAAGGCTGTACTCTTTACAGAAGCAGATTGTCGCATCTTTCTCCAGTGGAGCGGCTGGTAGGTTCGAACCGCCAATCTTTCAGTTAGCAGCCAAGAACTTTAACCACTGCGCCACAAGCTGGCAAATACCAAATACCCAATGAGGCCTTTATAAACGAATACACAAGAATTATTATCTTGGTGTGGGGGTAGGGGATGGTAGTGACCAGTTCAACCACTTTCAAGGGCACATCTTTGTCAAATTGGACCAATTTCCAGAAAAAAATAAGATAAAATTTTTTTTAATTCTACCCATTAATTTTAACTTTTCTCAATCCTTTGCCACCAGCCAAATTAAGAATAAAAAGCAAACTAATACCACAGAAAAAATAATATCACAGAAGCAATTTATTATACCTAATTTGACACTTGTATTTTGTTTTTTTTTTCAGAAACACATGTATTCACCCATTAATTCAGTCAACAAATACATATTGAGAATGAACTACATGCCAGACATTGTTCCAGGATGTGGAGATACAACAGATGATTAAAAAAAAAAAAGTCCCAACTCTCATGGAGTTTATTTTCTAATACAAAAACATATATAAGCTTATGTTATTTTTGACTGTATGCACATAATACAATCTCAATTTCTGTTAGTAATGTTGTTCCTAATATAGCTGAACCTCTGCAAGGAGAATGGTATTTAGATCTTTAGTACTCAAAATATTTGAGAATCCTTGATCTGATAAAAACCTTCAACGTAATTAGAACAGAAGAAAAGAATCACGTGATCTTCTCAATTGATGCAGGAAAGACATTTGATAAAGTCCAACACCGATTCCTGATAAAAACTCTTAATAAAACAGGAATAGAAGGGAAATTCCTCAACATAATAAGGGGCATCTACATAAAACCAACAGCCAATTGTCATTCTCAGTGGAGAGAAGCTGAAAGCACTCCCCCTGAGAATGGGAACAAGACAAGGATGCCCTTTATCACCACTCCTATTTAATACTGTGCTGGAAGTCCTAGCCAGAGCAATAAGGCAAAGAAAATAAAGGGCATCCAAATTGGAATGGAAGAAGTAAAAGTATCCCTATTCACACATGATATGATACTACACATAGAATAGTATTCCACAAGAAAACTGCTGGAACTAACAGAAAGATTCAGCAGAGTAGCAGTATACAAGACCAACATTCAAAAATCAGTTGGATTCCTATATACCAACAAAGAGAACTTCAAAAAGAAAACCAGGGAAACAATAGCATTTATAACAGCCCCTAAAAAGATAAAATACTTAGGAATAAATCAGCCAGGAACGTAAAAGATCTATACAAAGAAAACTACAAAATACTACTGTAAGAAACCAAAAGGGATCTACATAAATGGAAAAACATACCATGCTCATAGACAGGAAGACTCAACATTGTGAAATTGTCAATTCTACCCAAAGCAATCTACAGATACAATGCAACTCTGATCCAAATACCAACAGCATTCTTCAATGAAATGGAAAAACTAATCACCAAATTTATATGGAAAGAAAAGAGCTCCTGGATAAGCAAAGCATCACTGAAGAAAAAGAACAAAGTAGGAGGCCTCACACTACCTGATCTCAGAACGTACTATACAGCTACAGTAGTCAAAACAGCCTGATACGGTACAAGAACAGACATATTAGACCAATGGAACAGAATCGAGAGGCCACACATAATTCCACCCACCTATGGTCAGCTGATCTTTGACAAAGGCCCAAGTCCATTAAATGAGGAAAAGACAGTCTTTAAAAAATGGTGCTAGCAAAACTGCATGTCCATCTGTAAAAAAATGAAACAGGACCCATATCTAACACCATAAACAAAAACTAACTTAAAATGGATTAAAGACCTAAATACTAAACCTAAAACTATAAAGATCCTGGAAGAAAAAATAGGGACGGGGGCCCTAACACATGACATAAACAGAATACAAAGCATAATCAATAATGTACAAACACCATAAAATAAACTAGATAACTGAAGCTCCTAAAAATTAAACACATATGCTCATCAAAAGACTTCATCAAAAGAGTAAAAAGAGAACATACACACCGAGAAAAATTTTTTTGGCTATGATATATCCGACAATGGTCGTCTCTAAAATCTATAAAATACTCAACATCTCAACATCAAAAAAACAAATAATGCAATTAAAAAGCGGGCAAAGGATATGAACACTTTACCAAAGACACTAGGCTGCTAACAGACACATGAGGAAATGCTTGCAATCATTAGCCATTAGAGAAATGCAAATCAAAACTACAATGAGATACCATCTCACCCTGACATTCCTGGCACTAATTAATTAATTAAATGAATGAATGAATGAATGAATGAATGCTGGAGGTTGCAGGGAGATTGGAACTCTTAAGCACTGCTGGTGGGAATGTAAAATGGTGCAAATACTATGGAAAACGATACAGTACTTCCTTAAAGAGCAAGAAATAGAAATACCATATGATCCAGCAATCCCACTACTAGGACTATAACCTAGAGAAATAAGAGCTGTCACAAGAATAGACATATACACACCTATGTTCACTGCAGCATTGTTCGTAATAGCAAAAAGATGGAAATAACCTAAGTGTCCATCAACAGATGAATGGATAAACAAATTATGCTACACACACACAATGGAATACTACACAAGGATAAAGAACAATGATGAATATGCAAAACATCTCACAACATAGATGAATGTGGAGGGCATTATGAGGAGTGAAATAAGTCAATCACAAAAGGAAAAACATTGTATGAAACCACTATTATAAAAACTCAAGAAAAGGTTTACACACAGAAAAAAAACAATCTCTGATGGTTACGAGGGATGGGAGGGGGGGAAGAGAAATCACTAACTAGATAGTAGACAAGAGTTAAATTTGGAGAAGGGAAAGACAACACAATATAAGGGAAGTCAGCACAACTTGACCAAGGCAAAGTCATAGAAGCTTCCTAGATACATTCAAACACCTTGAGGGACCAAGTTACTGGGGCTGAGGGGTGGAGACCATGGCCTCAGGAGACATCTAGGTCAACTGGCATAACATAGCTCATAAAGAAAATGTTCTACAACCTACTTTGGTGAGTAGCATCTGGGGTCTTAAAAGCTTGCAGGTCTCCATCTAAGATACGTTTACTGGCCCCATCCTGTCCGGAGCAAAGGAGAATGAAGAAAACCAAAGATACAAGAAAAATACTAGTCCAAAGGACAACCTCCACCAGCCTGAGCCCAGAACTAGATGGCACCCAGCTACCACCACTGACCGCTCTCACAGGGATCACAGTAGAAGGTCCAGGATGGAGGGGGAGAAAAATGTAGAACAAAATTCAAATTCACAACAAAAGACCTGACTTACTGGTCTGACAGAGACTGGAGAAACCCCCAAGACTATGACCCTCGGACACCTTGCTGAGAACTTAAGCCACTCCCAAAATCTACCTTTCAGCCAAAGATTAGGCCTATAAAACAAACAATAATACACGTGAGGAACGTGCTTCTTAGTTCAATCATGTATAGAGACCAAACGGGCAAGACCTGCCCAAAAGCAAAGACGAGAAGGCAGAAAGGGACAGGAAAACTGGATGAATGGACACAGGGAACCTAGGGTGGAAAGGTAGAGAGTGCTGACACATTTTGGGGATTGCAACCAAAGTTACAAAACAATTCATGTATAAATTTTTGAATGAGAAACTAATTCGTGCTGTAAACTTTCACCTAAAGCACAATTTAAAAAAAAAATCTTCCCTCACTTTTTTCATTCATTCATTATACTGAGTACCTAGTAACAATCAGGAACAGTGTTAGGAACAAGACAAAACAATTCTAGAAATCAATGAATTTATTATTAAGTAGAATGAAAAAGATAAATAACACACACACACACACACACACACCCACACCCACACACACACCCACACACCTCTCATTCATATAGGAGACCTAACTAAGCAAAAGCTATGGAGTCCCTGAGTGGTGATGGATGCACTCGATAACTAAAAGAAAGGTTGGAGATTTGAGTCCATCCAAAGGCACCTCAGAAGAAAGGCCTGACGATCTATATCCAGAAACATCAGCCATTAAAAACCCTATGGTGCACAGTTCTACTCTGACACATATGGGGTTGTCACAAGTCAGGATCAACCCAGCAGCAACTAATTAATGTTGGAACTTAGAAGACAGAGGAAGTACATTGAGTTAAAGTGAACTATATTAAACTACTGGAGCTGAGTAGGCGTTAATCATAAAGCAAAGTGAAAACAGTAGCAGGTAGGGTAGCAATAAGCAAAAACATAGAGGTAGAAAAGGGCAAAATATGTTTGGAGAATACAAGTCCAGTCTCTGGTTAAAACAGGATAAAATCAATGGACTAATAAAAGAGAAAGCTGGAATAGTAATTTGAACCCAAATTACAAAGCACTCAAACCAAAGAATCTGAACTTAATTTGGTAGGCAATAGAAAGGCACTGAAGGATTTGCTGTTGGGAGGTCACATAATTTCTGTGAAGCAATGTGGGCAAATGCTAGAATACAAGGACTTAAGAAAGGGGGTGGGTGGTGAGGAAGTGAAGACAAAGTGTTTGAATTACTCAGAGTCTGGTGAAAAAGAACCTCTCTCTCAACTTCCTGGGGGAAAGAAAAGGACTCAAACTGATCTGGAGGTAGTAGATAAAAGCAAAGAGTCTACAGCATGAAAGGGACTGAGATATAAACAAGAAAAAGAAATTTCATGGCTCAAGATCCTGAAGTAGAAAGGAATGGTATCAAAGCCACAGGTGTCTGTCTTAGTTATCTAGTGCTGCTATAAGAGAGATACCACAAGTGGATGGCTTTAACAAACTGTGGCTTTTCCCACAGTTTAGGAAGCTAAAAGTCGAAATTCAGAGCACTGGCTCTAGGGGAAGGCTATCTTTCTCTGTCAGCTCTGGAGGAAGGTGTTTGCCTCCTCTGAGCTTCTGTTCTTGGGCAATCTTCATGTGGCTTGGCATCTCTCTTACCCCATCTCTTCTAGGTTGCTTGTTTAGTCTCTTTATATCTCAAAAGAGACTGACTCAAGATACACCCTACACTAATCCTGCCTCATTAACATAACAAACATAACTCATTCCCAAATGGGATTATAACCACCGGCGTAGAGGTTAGGATTTACAACATATACTTTTGGGGGACCCAATTCAATCCATAACTGTCTTTCACTTGTAATCTTGAAACAAAGAAACTCTGAGGCGCCCAAGCCATTCGGCCCTGATCTCACTAAATATGGACTTTCCTGGAAGTTAAACTATAATGAAGGGAATGTGAAGGGACCAGTAAGTTCCTATTTAAAAAAAAAAAGAAAAAAAATACAAGTCGAAAGTTGGCATACAACAACATAGTCAAAAAGAAACAACTCAGAATATCATCAACAGATTGCTATGAAGGTTTAATAGAAAACTTTAAAGTTGGGCAGCACTGCCATCCTCGAATGAATTAATTCTTAATCTTAACTAAGATTTTCAGAGTACTTATATATAGTTTTATCAGGAACTCTGAACAAAAAAATTTTGATTGGTTGACAATTACTCATGTCAGAATACGTAAATCTTACAAGAGAGCATTATGTGCTTAAACATTATAAAGAATAGAAAAATAAAAACCTTGCTAAAACAATCACAAGATCAGTGAGCCATGATTACAAGACCTCTGGAGTCCTAGAAACAGGAGATGTTCATTAAACTTCAATTGTTTTCTGAAAGAATATAAGTTTCAAATATTTCAGTGAGCCTGATCACCTAATCACAATTTTATGAAACTAGACAAACTACTTTTAAGTTATAGTTCAAGACACAGTTATAAGCATTAAAAGTTACATATATGTATACGATGGTACAGCACACAGTTTCCTAACATTTAATATGATGAATAATTGGTAAAATTATTAGCGGGTCCTGGGTAAGGGAACTCTGTTTTCATAAAGCAAAATGTATAGCTTTATTTAACAATTCATATATTTTACATACACACACATATGTGTGGAGCCCTGGTGGCATAGTGGTTAAGAGCTCAGCTGCTAACCAAACGGTCAGCAGTTCAAATTAACCAGCCACTCCCTGGTAACACGACAGGGCAGTTCTACTCTGTCCTATGGGGTCGCTATGAGTCAGAATCGACTTTACAGCCAAGGGCTTTTTTTTTTTTTAATGTGTGTGTGTGGGGAGGTGTGTGTGTAGTGAGAATGGAAAAAGAAAAACCCCAGCATAAACAATGTCAGTTCTCGAGAGTAGTTGCTGGGCGACTGTTAAGCCAAGTCTTCATGCTCACTCTCTCCCTGAAATGACTCCTTCCCCTTGGATCTACTTATCCAAATCTACCCAGCCTTCAAAGCCCAGCATAAGTCTCACTTTCCAGAATTCTCAAGGTGGAAGAGGTCTCAGAGATAATGCAATGCACATGTCTACCTAATTCAGAAATTAGTTGTCTATGAACCTGAACAGTTTCAGTGATGGAAAAGGAAGCACTTACTCTCAGGAAGCTGCCCATTCCATTACTCCACAGCTCTGTTATAAGGTGCTTTTTAATACTGGGCTGAAACCTGATCACCTAGAGCTTTTACCAATTATTTCTTACGTGGGCTTATACAATTTAAGCGAGTATGTCAGTTTACTGTCTTTTCCAAAACAACCCTTCAAATAATTAAAAAGCATTATCCTGTCTTCTGAAAGTTTAACATTCCCAGTTCTTCAATGGTTCCTGATATGGGAATTTCCAAATTCCTCTCTGTTCTTCTTGTCTTCCTTCTACAGAAGCACTTTAGTTTGCCAACAGCCACCTGAAAATGTGGTACCAAGAAGTGAACATAATACGCCTTAAGTAGTTGGATGAGCACAGAATAGAGCAGAAACACTAACTTACTTGATCTGGACACTAGGTTTCTATATTCAACCTAAAATAGCATTAGCTGTATTTTTTAAGTGGTCATATCACACTGTTGGTTCATACAGAGCAAGCAGTCAACTAAAACTCAAAGAAATTTTACAAATGAAACCAAAATGTACATAAAATGTATATACTTAGATACAGGGTGAAGGAAATATAAGGGGTAGAATTGAGCCCAAATTGAAAGTTGCCATTAACCAAGTATGACAATGGATATGAAAAACATCTAGAAGTTTAAAAGCTTTGCACAAATGGGAACAGCAGAATGCTGATAACTGTTAAAGTTGGATGATGTATGCATGAGGATTCATTATATTATCCTACTTTTGTTGGTGTTTGAAATTTTCTGTAATAATAGTATACACCAAAAGGGAAACAACAAACAAAATAAAAAACCTCTGTACAAACCTTCACTAGCTCCCCTTCTTCCAAGATAATCTAAATCCATTCATGATCTCATCCCTACTTCTCTTTCCAGTCTTACCTCAGACCTTACCCTCTCTTCTGTTCTCCAACTACACTGGGCTATCTTTCTTCCCTTTTCATTCTATGAACTTTCTGTGCTTCCGTGGTTTAATATATCCTGTTTCTTGAACCTTCCATTTGACAAAACCTTACTTTTTCTGCAAAGTTGAGTTTAAATGTCACTTTTGTGAAGTCTGTCACAGGTCGAGCCTACCAAAAAACTAAGCACATACAAGGCGACCATAAATGCTTACCAAAGTGAATGAAACAACTTGAGGTTGGCTTGCCCAAGATTACAGAGCTTGCAATTACAGAGCTGAGACTAGAATTCACGTCTCCTTAATCTAGATCTAATTATCTTTCCACTCTCCTGCATTATTTGATGGTAATTTAAAGTAGTGAGACTAAGAAAAAGATTTTTCATTGTCCTAGTACTAGATTACTAACGGACCACAGTGCTTGCTGATCACACATCAAATGCAAATCACAGCCTTCTTTCCCCACTAGGTGCGTAGAAGAGGCGAAGGGAGAGGGAAGGTAGGGAGCAAAAAACGCAATTAATGATTCGCAGGGGATTCTCTCTTTCTCTATAACCGCGCATCTTTTCCCCCAAAAAGTAATGATCATTAAATAACTCTCGCCTCAGACAGAAAAATGGCGACTCACTCATTGATGCATTCATTCATTCAACATTCGCTAAGTGTTTGCTTTATGCCAGGCCCTGTACACAGCGATGAAGCCATAGGGATGGACAAGATACAGTTCGTGCCCACAAGCATCTCCTTGCCTAGCGGAACTACTACCTTTTTAACAGCAGTAACTTTACTACTGTATGCAGATCTCTTTAGAAGAGGGCCCCGGCAAGGCTCAAAGACCAGCAGCCCAGAAGTCCCAGGGCCGCTCCACCTTTAGGCCGGTCGCCACCAATTTTTAGCGGGTCGGGCTCTTTCTCCAAGGTCGGCGTTGGAACACCCACCCCCGATTAGGAGCAGCACCTTACCTTCAATCTCCCTTCCCACTCCTCCCCTTCCTGGCTTACGTCATCCAAGAGCGCCGGGGACGCGGGGACAACGCTGTTAACGGCACTTCCTCGTCATATGACGGTTACGCCCCTCCCTGCGCGTGGTCCCTCCCCCTCTGGCCGCGGTTGCAATTACCCTCTCTACCGCCCGCTGCTTGCGGACCGCAGCCAGCTGAAAATGCGGCGCCGACCGGGACTGGAAGAGCTCTGGGCCAAAGGAGTGGGCCAGCCAGGATCCCAGGACTCTTCACCGCTTGAGGCCAGTGAGAGGAAACGAAACAGGCGGGAAACAGTGGCGTCGGGAGGGAGCTAGCGGAAGGTGTCATGGCGGCCGCGCTGTTGGGTCACGTGCTCCGCAGGCCCGCCTCCGTGCTTCCGGTCACGTGCCTGTAGAGTTCTCGCAGCCAGCGATGGAGGCGAGACCCCCCGGTAACAGAGGCGGTGGTGACGGGGGCGGCTGCTGGGTTTCATCCTCTTCCCGGCAGCTGCTCTAAGAAGCGCAGTGGAACTCGACCCGACCCAGCCTAGTTACTTACGGCGGGTCCAGGGCCGTAGCTCCCACTTGGTAAGTTTATACCGAAGAATGAGGGTGGGTGGGCGCGTGAAGATCTGACAGGCCCGGGGGCCGCAGGACGGCGCGGATTCTGCCTCTCTCCCCAGCGTCGCTATCGCGACGGCCCCAGCTCCCACGCCTGCGTCCCGGTTGCCCTTTTTTATCCCAAAGCGGTGAAGAGACGACCCCTAATCTACTTGTCTATACGAATCCTGCCCGTCTACTGGGAGCAGGGACTCGAGTTATCCAAAGCCAGAATCAGACTTAGGTCTTGAGAATAAAAAGTGGTAGCCTCTCCCGGGCAGAGAAGCCCTTCCTGTTAGGACATGTGCTGTTGGGTCTTTCAGTTTCTGTAAGAGAGGAACCCTCACCTTGGTGTCTGTACACGTTTTGCTCTACCTGTCAATCCCACCGTTCTTGAAACATTAACACCTTAACAGGATATGTGCCAATCCACACCCTCCGGTTTTGGTCGACCCACAATTTGATTGTCAGATAATAAAAAATGAAAAATTTCCCCATAGAAATATATAATTATCTTAATATTTTCCAGTGTTCTCAGGGGTCAAGTTGATTAAGAAGGTATATCTGATAGACTCTTAAACGCCCATTGTAAAATGGAGGATATAAAAACTTACATTTTCCCAATAGGAGGCCTAATTTAAAAACATACAAAAGCTGGGTGGTTTGAAATACACCTTGCAGTAAGTATTAACTCCATACAAACCAATATCCTCATTATCCAAGCATATGATTTTCAAACATTTTAAAGAAGTAGAACAATTTCTTCCATGAATCCTTACCTGGAACCCCAGTATATAAAGCTGCGTGCTCTGGTGGAACTGAGTTTGGCAGGCCCAAGTCCCACGCACTCAGCCTCCCTTCTATGCTAGAGGCGTCTCCTTGGAACACAATTTGAAAACCACTGATCTGGGCTTTGGTAATTAAGCCAAAGTTGCGAGCCCTAAAACAGATTGTAAAACCAGAGCAATTAAGAGGAGAGGTCATAACAGAAGGAAGATAAACTTTAGTTAACAGGCCTGGGGTTTGGGTTCTGGAGAGAACTTTGTGCCTATTAGCAGGCCTAAATCTCTTGTTTGGAAGGAGAGATAGGTAGTTTGAGACCTTTAAACCTTGTCTGCTATTTTCGCTCAGCTGACCTTTAGCAGTGCTGCTGATTGAATAAGTTTGAGTCTCTGCTAGGTGATGTTAGATACAATGGAAATGTAAAAAAATAAACGCAGAGAGTAATCTTTAAAAATACTAGGAAGATTGAAGTAGTCAAAGGGAGAGTTATCAGTTAAAAGTAAGCAAAAGCTCAGCTCCAGTCAGCTGCAAATGCTTCCTCTGTATACTGCCCTCAAGGCTTATATCGTCTTGCTGGTATATCTTTCTGTCTTAAAGCCTGTTTCTCTGTCCCGCTGTCGTCCCTCCCCCGCCCCCATCAGGCTGTTGTCTGGTGTATCTTGAGCTTTCCTAGCATTTTGGCCACTGTTCCTACGTTATGGGGGTAGGGAGTGTCTTGGTACCCTTCCTCCTGTCTTTCCTGCCTTCAGTGCTTTTCCCAAATCAAAATCTCTATCGAGGATATGCCTTCAGTGTGGCAGCGTCAGGCTTCAGTCTGATAGCCCCTCCTTTCTCAACTCCAGTTACCAACAGACTGCCCTTCTCGATATTAGTAATGTACTCTTAACAGCATGCAGTATTTATTAGTGGATAGAGGCGCATTCCTCTTTTTCTTCTCTGTGTCGCATTTTTCTTTTCCTGCCTCTCCCTGCACTGCTGTAAAATGAAAAGTGAAAAGATGGTAAAATTGCCACATCAGCCCTTATGCCACATTAAAAATGCCACATCTTCCTTGTTAGTGTAACTGGTCTTAAAACAGTACGTTTTAGTCATTTTTTATATACTTCTGAGATCTTACTCTTGTTAATGATGTATTAACAAATGTTAAAACGTTTTTGGATTGCCAGTGGCAAGCAAAATTAAATCCAGCTGTCCATTTTTTATGCTGGCCGATACAGCAACTTGCTCTCCAGTAATACTCCTCTTTTTAGAGGGTGATAAGGAATTTATACTTGTTTTCTTTTCCCATTTATCTACACGTTGGAAAAAGGAATGTAGTTAATGGAAATGCAGAGATTTGAAGATTTCTACTCAACAGTTTCAAATTCTTTCTATCACTGTTTCCTTATAAGGGTAGGAACAAGTTAACTGGAATCTGTGTGGGAAATGGTGCCCTGATGTATGCATTGAGAGCTGTAGTGCTTCCTGGAGTTTAGCAGAGAGGGTATGTGCAAAGGTCTTTCATACGTCTTATCCTTGTGTCTTAACCAAGATTGTGTTTTTTAACAAAAAAGATCTTAAGTAGATGGATGTGTCACAGATATTTATTGGACCCTTCCTATGGACCAAACACTATGCTGGGTGCTGTATTGCAGTGAACACCCTGGGTCCTCCCTTATTAGGCTTACAATCTTTTAGGGGAGACAAACATTAAAAAATTATATAAATAATGGATTATAGTTGTGGTAAGTGCTAAGAGAGAGAGTAATGAGACCTTACCTAGTAACTATGAAACTTAGAGTAGATTGAAAAAAATGAGTAAAATTTAGCCAGTTGATGGGAAGAGAGGAGCATGTGCAAAAGCTTAGAGCAAGGCATATGTTAATACGTTTACCTGCATGCAGATGAATTTTTAACTGCAGCTGAATTAATGCCATCACTGGAGGATCTTGCAGCTTAAAGAAGTGTCATGGCAGATTATTTTATAAAGTAAATAATCTTAAAAGTAAAGCTAGATCTTTACCTAGCTAATGTTTAAATGTAACTATACCAATATTTTTCATAAATGAAATATTCTGTGGCTTTTATAGAGTTCTACTGTGAAGAAGTGTTTGCCATCCAAGGAGTGCTTTTCAAGAAAGATCTGGAAGTCACAAAAGCCATTATAGGATAGCCCCTCTGGTTCTACTAAACTTTCCAACAATTGGCTCTTGAAATTGACCAGAAAAAGTTGCCAAGCAAATTAGCTGTGAGACAATTAACCAGTAATGCACAGTGTTCAATAACTTATTTGTGATTTATTTTATTAAAGCTTTCCCTAAACTGAATTTTAATATGAGTGGTTTTACATTAATGTGTAAGAGATTATGTTTTTCCTAAATTGATTTAAAGTAGCTGACTCTGATTAAGTCAGTTCTCTCAATGTAATTTATTCTTCAGTTTATATCACCTTTTCTCCCTTGTCTTCCCTACTCAAAAAAGTTTCTTTTTCTGCCAAAGCTAATTTGTACCTGTAACCACACTCTTTAAAAGCCCAGTTAATTGGAAACTTGCTCTACCAGCTGTATTTGCTGACTGCTTTTTCTCCAACCTATGGACATACTTACAGTTATCTGTGTAAGCCCTCACACAAACCATCCCCTCCCATCTTTCCTATATTTTAATTCATGTTTCCCAAAATGTGGTTTGCATAGTATGCAGTAGAATTTTACATGGTATAGATGGTTTTTTTAAATAGTTATGTGTTTATTATAATGGACTTTAGGAAGTTAATATTAAAGTATTTAACGGTTCCATAAATATTATTTTTAAAAAATTATAAATCAATCTTTTAAAACAAAACTAATAATATAGATGATACATGCATATTGTAAAAATTGAAGATAACAAATAACTGACAACAGGGAGCACTGTTTTAATTCTTACCTACATTACCCCTAAGACTTTCCCTTGTTACCTTATAAACATTTAGCTTGATAGGGAATAAACTCTTTGGAAGGCGTTTTTAATAACTACTTTTCTCATTGTAAAATACATATTTATTAGAGACAATTCAAACAATAAGAAGAACATTCAAATCATCTGCAATCCGATCACCCATAGATAACCACTATTAAATTTGGTGTATATCTTTTCATTCATGTGTATTTGCAAAATAACATAGTGGAACTTCCAGTCAGACTGACCCAGATTCTAACCCAGGTCTACTACTTCCTTAATGATTTGGGAAAGTGTGTTTAATTTCTCAAACCCAGTTTCCTTCCCTACAGAATGCAACTAATAACTGGGATTGTTAACTGGGACTTTACTGAGATATTGCCTATAAAGAACTTAGCCCAGTGCCTGGTACATATTATTAAGCATTCAATCAATTTTAGATGAATTTTTTAAAATTTAAGAATATGGAATCAAACTACATGCTTCTTTGGCTTGCTTTTATCACTTAACAGTATCATTTTGTGTCATTACATAGACTTTTAAAATCGTGGTTTTCAAACTTTTAAGCAGTAGTAGCACTAATAGAAATCTCAGCAGGAACATCAAGTAAGTAAATCATTAAAAGATAGTATTGTAGAGAGAGAGAGAATTTCAAACCCTTTATCGTACATGATATAACCAAAACCCAAACCTGTTGCCACCGAGTCGATTCCAACTCATAGCGATCCTATAGGACAGAGTAGTATTGCCCCACAGGGGCAGCTGGTGGATTCAAACTGCCAACCTTTTGGTTAGCAGCCTGAGCTCTTAACCACTGCACCACCAGGGCTCCATATATGGCATATCAGTACTAAAACTATGAAGCTTGTAAAACAACATGGAAATGTTTGGATTGGCAAATGAAAAACGCAAGATAACTGACTTCGATGTATTTTGTGATTACGGTTGTAACATGGGTACAGATAAGATAAACACAGTTTAAAATGAATAAAATTGATGTTAGGGTTGTGGGATTATAGAATTTTTTAAATCCTTCTCTGTTACTGGGCTTAATTAAAAGCATTTGTCTTATTGGGCTCCATCCCAGCATGTACAGATGCCCATGTAATTGAGAACATCACCTGAATGCCTCAGCAGCACCTCACACTCGTCGTGTCCAGAATGGAATTTCATGTCTTCACTCAAACTTGTTCTTCTTCTCACTACTGTGCTCATTATCAGTAAGGCTTAGAAGTGGGCTTTGGACAAGCAGCCATGACACCCCCTTCACCGTTTACAATGCCTGTTAATCCTGCTTCATCTGTACTTCTTTTTGTCCCTTCTCCTCCATTCTCACTGCCACCAGCCTGCCTTGGACCTCTTTTGGTTCCTGTCTTCAGTTTCATGCTGCCCTCAGATTAATTTCTTAAGATACAAATCACTCCCCTATTCAAAACCCTTTAGAGGCCCTCTGTTGTTTACCACATAGGGTGGCATTCTTTTCCACTATCTGGCTCCATCATAACCGTCCAACTTCCTACCCCACTGACTCCTATCATGAACCTTAATGCTGCAGCCAGAGCAGACTATTTACCATTTCTTCTAGGTGATGCAAATGGTTAAGTGCCCGACTACCAGCCATACCCACCCAGAAACTCACCAGAAGACAGGCCTGGCAATCTGCTTCTAAAAGGTCACAGCCTTGAAAACCCTATGGATCATTTCTGCTCTGCATACATGAGGTTAATATGAGTCAGAATCTATTCCACAGCAACAACAGAGAGTCTTCAAGCCTTTGCCTGAAACCGCTCCCTTTACTTTTTCTGTCAAAATCTTCTTTAGTCTTCAAGACCCAATTCATAACTAACGTGTAAAAAGAATGAACTGATACATGCAGCAATATGGTGAATCTCAAAAACATGTTAAGTGAAAAGCCAGACACAAAAGAGTTACATATACTGTATGATTCCATGTATATGAAATCCTAGAACAGACAAATAATCTGTGGTGTTAGAAATTAGAAAATACAGTAGTCCCCCCTTATCCTCAGGGGATACGTTCCAAGACCTCCCGTGAATGCCTGAAACCACGGATAGCACCAAACTGTATGTATCCTGTGATTGTCCTATACGTACGTACTTGTGATAAAGTTTAATTTATAAATTAGGCACAGTAAGAGATTAAGAGCAATAATAAAATAGAACAATTATAACAGTTTACTGTAATAAAAGTTACATGAATGATGGTGTGAGATTTCATCATCCTATGTATTCATTTAACATTTTCGAACCAAAGTTGACCGCAGGTAGCTGAAACTGCGGAAAGTGAGACCACGGATAAGAGGGGGTTATTGTAATAGCTGGAGGGTGGGAAGAGAGAATTGACTGGAAAAGGACATGAGGGTATTTTCTAAGGTGATGGAAGTGTCCTGTATCTTGTTTTGGGTAGTCGTTCCATGAGTGTATACAATCGTCAAAATGCATCAAACTGAACACCTGAGAGTTTGTTTTGTTGGTTTATTGATTATACTTCAAATTTTTTTTTAATTAAAAAAAAAGATGGACAAATCTTCGACAAGGCCTCCCATGTGAAGAAATTGCCTCTGACTCCTAATTCAAAACATTTGCTGTCTTCCTTTTGGGACTTCACACATTCTATTATATAAACACTAACCACACACACACACCCTGCTCATTAGACTGGAAGCCCCTTGAAAGCAAAAATCACTATTGGCAGACATTCATTTTTTAATAGCCCCTAGACTCCTTGACTGTGTACAGATTTATTGAATAAATGCATTCCCAGTGACCCTTTTTCTGTGGATTCCTGGAGTGGCGCTTCTAATTCTCTGAGGAGACCTATGAAAGGAGAGACCTGGCTCCTCAGAATTCAGACCATCAACTTCACAGAAACCAAAATTACACTTTTTATTTTTATTTGTAACTTTTACTTCTAAATCAGTGCTTAAGTGAATCAGAAATGTTAGTTTTTTTTATTTCAGTGGTATTTTTCATTAGTCCTAAGAAGTAATAGTTTAAGAAGTGATTGGTTTTCATTTTTCAAATAACTATAAAAGAACTGCTGATTTCCTTTATTGTTAGTGCCTGCCACTCTTCCATTGCTTTCCCATAATGTCCAAATGGAAGTTCTCCTCAACCATTTTTAATAACTAATAGCAGGTACAGCATTTCATTGTTCCTATTTGTTTATTTTAACTGCCAGGGAAAATGTTGATAAGGCTTCACTTGTTGATCAGGGCAAATTTAATTCTTATGACACCTAGATTTGCTAACTTCTTAAACTATGCCTGGAGAAGTAAATTTTTTAAACTTATATTTTAAATCATTCTTTTGGGAATGCAAATGTGTCGTAACTTCACCAGGAATGGCATATATGTGCGATTTGTGCTACAACTTTCGCCATCCCAGCCCATGGCAGACATCACTATCAGTCATGGCATCTTTTCCATTGACAGCCTCAAAGTCCTCATTCCAGGCGGCCACAGTCAAGCTTCAAAGTAGGCATCAAGTTGGCGCCTCCTAGGCATCCCTGATTTGGGTGCTATTCTAAAAGTTGTTTTTTGTGTGTTTTTACCTCTCCTAGAAGTACTGGTGACATTAAGTTCCTTGTGCAGGGGTCTTTTTTTTTTTTGCTGCTTTAAGCTTTTGTTCTATGATTGAGACAGAAGGAAGGAACACAGAAATTGCCTGAGAGGGAGCTTTCCTGCGGATGCAGTCATTATATCCTATTCCTGCTAAGGTAAAATCCAGAGTATCAGTCCCCTTTCTGGAGTTATTTCTAGATATGTATTGTGGCCTAGTGATGAAGTGTTCTGAAATAGACTTAACTAAAACCAAACCAAACCCACTGCTGTCAAGTCGATTCTGACTCATAGTGACCCTATAGGACAGAGTAGAATTAGCCCATAGGGTTTCCAAGGCTGTAATCCTTAGGGAAGCAGACTGCCACATCTTTCTCCCAGATTATTGGGGGGAGGGGGGCTGGCAAGGAGCAGGCTGTTACATGTGTGACTGATTTGCCATATACAAATGAATTATCAGCCAAGACTTGGAGCAGCTGAAGACATCTGATTGTTAAAAGATGGAAAAAGCATCTGAAGTGTTAAGTGTTGAATTTTGTTGGTCCTGTTTTCAGACACAAGGTGCCCTGTGGCTCAGTGGTTAAGCACTCAGCTGCTAACTGAAAGGTTGATCATTCAAACCTATCCAGCCAGCAGCCTACAGGAGAAAGACCTGGTGATCTGTTCCCATAAAGATTACAGCCTAGGAAACCCTATGGGGCAGTTCTGCTCTGTCACATGGAGTCACTATGAGTTGAAGTTGACTTGAGAGCACCTAACAACATTTTCAGACACACAAGAAAAGCTTAGACCAGGAATCAGGGTGTGGCTTCAGCTTTGGGAGTGGCTCTGGAAAAGTCACTCCAACTCTCTAGCCCTAAATTATTTCAGTCAAAACAAATTTAAACTAATTATTCGGTACGGTTCTGTGTAATTCTAAAGTTCTATAATTCTAAATATAGATTAGGTAAGAGACCATGTATTTGTTGTCAATCATGTGTTTAACATTTAAGACTGTAACTGAGGAAAATAAAAACAAATACTGTCATGAGCATATTTTGAAAATGGTTTGAAAAACTGCCAAGTGTTATATAAGTGTGTTCTGTAAATTCATACATATGACAGGAGCAAAATGAAGCTTGGTTTTAAAGGAATTATCTTCAACTTTGAATGAGGAAAGAGACTGTCTCTCTTCCCCCCTGCTTGTTAATTTCATGCAGTTTAGGTTTTAGATTTGGAAGAGACCCTACAAGTTAACAAATCTAACCCTAATTGATGTGTGACTTTTCTCCACAGTATTGATGAAACTATCCAATCCCTTCCAACCCCTACCTGTATATGTAACTTGAGTAGCTTATTAACACCAGATTTAAAGGAGCCTTTTTTTTTTTCTCCTCTGTTGGCACATTGTAGCCATCATGGCAACTTCATCGGAGGAAGTTCTATTGATTGTAAAGAAAGTGCGTCAAAAGAAGCAAGATGGAGCACTATACCTCATGGCAGAAAGAATTGCTTGGGCACCTGAAGGCAAAGATAGATTTACAATCAGCCATATGTATGCGGATATTAAATGTAAGTCAGCTATACAAAGATCTGGTGTATTATCATATTTGCTAGTAGTTTCATAAAAAGATTGTTTATGCAACTTTGTGGGGTGTTTTTAATCACTTCAAAAAAAATGAAACCATATAGAAATAATTACAAAGTGGAATTACAGAGTATATACTGTTCTTTTTATTTTTCAATTAATAGTAGAGTTTGTACAGCTTTGCATACGTAGATCTGTTTCACCTACAGATCATATATGTCGTCTTTTGTGAGTTGCATAACACTCCGCTGAATGGATGTACAATCATGTATTTAACCAGTCATCTGTTGAAGAACATTTAGGAAGTTTCCAGAATTTTGTTATTGCAAACAGTGCTGCAGTGTAGATATATGTATGCTTAATATCTTTCTGAACTTGTGTGTATAGGATATCTCTCTCCAATGAACCGGTCCAAATGGTTCATGCATTTAAAATGTCAGTAGATGCCAGATTGCCCTTCAATAAAATTATGCCACTTAAGGAAGTTGTCTAATTAATCTCTGATTATGTGGTCATCATTTGTTGAAATGACAGATTCAACGTTATGCCGAATATAGATGGGAGAAACATGGAACATAATATTTTTTAATCTTTTTTTCCAGGTTTTTCAAGTGTGAAGGTTGAAATCAAAATCCTTTCTCTTTCCAGATTTGCAAGATGAACTCTGAATTTATTACAAAGAGGATATGGTACTTTGTGGCTCAATAATAATTAGGTTTAAAAATACCTGGTTAATACTGGGTTTTAGAATCTTTACTCTGAAATTTCTCTCAGAGGAATTTCTGCAATTCACCTTTTTTTTTTTTTCCTTGAATAGGAGAGGCAGAGGATAGACTGGTCAACCAAGCCCTTGGCAAATTGTGATCTCATAACTGACTGTTAATATGGATTCATTTATTTTCCTGCATATAAGATTTTCTCCTAGATAAAATCATGTTTAGGTTATAAGAAACATGACACCTCCAAACAGACAACCTTCGACTTATAAGTGCTCAATTTACAAACGTCTTTTGTGTATAAACGAACAGCTGCCCTAGTCCCAGGGACTTAGCTCTAATTTGCTGCTGGAAATAACCAAGATCTCCACCCTTGTCTACTGAAATTAAGTTATCCAAAAAAAATACTGTTTAAAATTCATCGTAGTTCTTTACTACAAAGCATTTGGTCTTTCATCCATTATCCTGGTAATAGTACCTTCTTTTAAAACTTTGTTTCCGTGGAAAAATGCATCAAGTTCCTGATAATAGTCTGATGAACTAACATTTGTGCTACAATAAATTTATAAATCAGGAAATGCCAGTATTAGCATTTGTCTTAAATGAGAAGCTAGCCCGTTAGCTTTGCAAAGCACTCACTGTGATACCCACAGTGCAGTAAAGAATGTGCCTATCTCCTATCTTTCAACAAATCTCAGCTGTTGGGGAGGGAACAGATTATCCAAATCTAGGTCTGCTTCAGATTGGTTTTCATTTTAAGTTTAATGTTTGAAAGAATATCCATTTCTGAAAGAAGCCATTGAAAGTTACTAGTAATAAGTTACTGAAGTGAAAATCAGCATTATTTCTTATCATCGCTGAAGTTAGCTAGTCAGAAAGTTTCAAAAGGAGGCCTCTTAGAGGCAGGAGCTAAGTAAGGAAAAAAGTAGTGACTAAGAAAAAGTGCATAGAGAGGAGTGATCGTTTGTTTTGGAGAAATGGAACAGTGGAAGATGCTGATTGACAGTGTAAATTGCTTCATATCGCTGCGTTTAGCAGTAAGGTATTTCATCTAATCTGTTGGTCTGGAAGCATTGTCTTCGTTTTCAAAGTTTCTGTATATTTAAGGCTTAGTAGGTCATTCAGGGCTAAGATGAGAGCCCTAGTCAGCATGTACACACGACCATTACTTACTTATCCAGTGGGACAAAGCCCATTCTTCATGAAGAAGAAAAGCACTACTGTTGCCATGAGGCTCACCCTTTAAGAATGCAAGTTCTTCATTATATGGGTATATTTTAACATTCACATTCCTAATTTTTTATTAGGAAAGTCTTCAAAGCTACAAAAAAAATTAGAAGAATGGTACAAATAAATACGTATGTAATGAATCCCATCTAGATACTACTGATGTTAATATTTTGCCATATTTGTTTTATTGTGGGTGTTCTTGCTGTGTATGTGTACACTTTTGTTGCTTATAATATCATCACACGAAGGAAATTTTAATAATAAATATCCTGACCATTGTTATATTTCCCTAGCTATCCCAGTAATGTCTTTTATAGCTGTAGGGTGTTTTGTTTTGAAACCAGTATCCAATCTCGATTAATATATATAGTTGTCTCTTTTGTTTCTTTAAGAGTGTAGGCTTACAGAATATCATGCATTCTGAGTATGTCTGGTGGTCTCCTCAGGGTTTTACTTAATTTGTTCCTGTATACCTGTATTTCTTGTAAACTGAAAGGCCCAAAGACTTGATTATATTCAGGTTAAATATTTTGGCCAAGAATACATCATAGGTCATGATGTTTAGCTCCTAACTCATCACCTCAGAAAACGTATAATGTCACGTTGTCCCACTTTTAATGAGGCTAAGTTTGATCACTTGGTTAAAGAGGTGACACCAGATCTCTCTAATAAAAAATTACATAGTTCCCTCTGCAATTAGTAACTAAAGCCATAGGCTTGTGTTGTACAAGTTTTTGGAATCATGAAAAATCATTTTTATTTACAATGATGTTGATTGGAGGCAGTCTGTCCAGGATGGATTCAGGGCTCCTAGTTGTATTTTAGAAAGCTTTAAAGTGGTCTGCCCCCATTGAATAGAAGCAAAAACCTATTACTATCAGGAGGTAGAAGCAGTGTGTGAGAAGAACCACATGAAAAGAATACTGAAGAAGGAAGCAGGTGTTTGCAGTGAATTTGTTTAGCCGTGCTGTAGTTGTATGGGATTATTACTCATTTATTTCTGCAAATACATCAAGATTGGAACAAGATAGCTAAAGCCGAAAGGAATCCTGAATCTTGAGAGGAGAAGGAACCTATTGTATGACAATTTCGACAGCATGTCCTGATCTAATTAGTGGTGTGCTTCTTTTTAGGCCAGAAAATCAGTCCAGAAGGAAAAGCTAAAATTCAGCTTCAGCTGGTCCTGCACGCAGGGGACACAACCAACTTCCATTTTTCCAATGAAAGCACAGCAGTGAAAGAGAGAGATGCAGTAAAGGACCTTCTTCAGCAGTTGTTGCCCAAATTCAAGAGGAAAGCAAATAAAGAACTAGAAGAGAAAAACAGGTGAAGGAGGAAAAGAATTGTCATTTAGAGAGATACTAGGCCTCTTAATAGAGTAATAAATATCTTGTTACTTCTCACCACTTGTACTGCAATAGTGTAATATAGGAAAATACTGACCTTGATGTGACTATCTCTGTATTTGGTTCTCAACTTCAGCATCTTACTAGCTCTGTGGCTTTGGGCAAATTATGTAATCATTCTGAGCCTCATATTCCTCGTCTGTATAATGAGGTTAATGATAACTTTACAAGATTTTGAAAATTAAGTTAGAAGTATATGTAAGATATTGGCTCCTAGAGGTTAAACGTTTGTTTCTGTTTTTCCATTTGTATGACAATTTTTCAAGGCACTTACATATATCTTTTCTTTAATTATGTAGACCCTGGTGGCGTAGTGGTTAAGAGCTGGGCCACTAACCAAAAGGTTACCAGTTCTAATCCATCAGCTGCTCCTTGGAGTCCCTATGGGGGCAGTTCTTCTCTGTCCTATAGGGTCACTATGGGTTGGAATCGACTCGACAGTGTCGAGTTTGGGTTTTTTGTTTGTTTTGTTTTTGGGGGTACAGAAATGAATAAAGCCAAATTTCTACCTTCAAGGAGTTTATCAGTCTTCATTTATTCCTTCAGAAATGTTTTCTGCTTTAATTTCTGAAGAATGAACTAAATTGATCTCTGCTTTTCAATCATAACAAAATAAAAGTGTTTCAGTGTTTCATATTGTTAAAGTTTTTCTTTTAAAAATGTTACTTGAGTGGTGTTTTATTCTAGAAGTTTGATTATATTTGATATATTCTATCACCAGAATGCTGCAAGAAGATCCTGTTTTGTTTCAGCTTTATAAAGACCTAGTTGTGAGTCAAGTGATCAGTGCTGAGGAATTCTGGGCCAATCGTTTAAATGTGAATGCAACAGATAGTTCTTCCATATCCAATCATAAGCAGGATGTTGGCATTTCTGCAGCATTTCTGGTATGTGACCCTTCTAGATTTCTGAAAGGAAAAAAAAAATTGAAAATATGAATATGTATATGTTAACAATGCCAGTTCTGTTGTAAAGTTTTAACATTTACTTAACTGAAAATTTAGTATCCTTTGTATTCTAAAATATTTTTAAAATATATACAGTGTTTTTTAAAATGTATAGTGAACATTATAGAAAATGTAAAATTTATAAAATGAATCTGATAGAAAAATTGGGAATACCTTACATGTGGAATTAGAAAATGGGATTTAATTAGTCTACACTCCAATGGATCCAGAGCAGCCTTTACTCAAAATTTGAATACCAGTTCTGTGTTTGGTATCTTTCTGGGTGCTTGGTAGTGAATTGAATTAATAAGGCCTCACCTAAAGAAACCAGTTCATTAGATAATATCACTTTAATTATTCAGTAACCAAGGTTGATGGTGCTTTTGTAACTACCCAAGTTTTATGTTAAAGCTCCACCAACTGTCTGCCTTGTCCAGCGCTTAAACGTTGGACTCTCAGGGAGGCTGATTGTATAGGTCACTAAGACTGTATGGGACCAGGCCAAGCCTCCTTGAGCCTTATGTCAGAAGTGAAGGTGAGGGACTTACTGTGTCCCTGCAGTTCGTTCAGAAAGTCTGTATTTCAGCAGTGTCTATTTGGGAACTTGGACATCTTCCCCCAATGTTCTGACTATTATGTGGTCTTTATTTTAGGCTGATGTCCGGCCTCAAACAGATGGCTGTAATGGTCTGAGATATAATTTAACCGCTGATATCATTGAGTCCATATTTAGGACCTACCCAGCAGGTAAGAAGAATCAGTTCTTCTAGATAGTCAAAATGTTTGTTTGGGTGAGTTCTGAATATATATCGATGAAAAAGAAAAAGCTTCACCTTTATTCCTGATCAAGTGCAATAATATATGTAAAGTACCTTAATCGGTGCCTGATAAATGGTAGATATTAGATAAATGATAAGTCTGCTAGTCTTTCCATTATTGGTTCTTCAATTTTAGCCCTCAGCACACTTGAGAGAGATGACATCTCCAGAGGCATCAGTAAAAATGAGTCTCTCTGCAGCAGTAACATATCATCCTTCATGCTGCCTCCAGAGTGTCCTGTCTAACCCACAAATCATGTCCCACGCAAAAGCCGTCCTAAAAATTTAGATTCCTTGATCCCAGCCCTAGTGATTTCTGGCGTACAGCCAACCCTGCTTCATTCTTTTCTTCTGACCATACAGTGCTCTCTCAAACTATATGCTGTTCCCTCTTCCCACTTCCTTACTCCTGCGTCTTTAGTCCTTAGGAAACATCTGTCCCTCAGAACTCAGCTCAAACGTCACCTCATTGCCACCTCCATAAATTCCTGAGTTCCTCAGGCAGATAGTGCCTTGTGTTTGCCTCAGTGAGTTATCATACTGTATTGTAATTTTTTTCCATATCTCTTTGATAACAATAACAAATAATTATATTTAAGGAGCCCTGGTGGCACAATGCTTAAGCACTCAGCTGCTAACCAAAAGGGTCAGTGATTCAAACCCACAGAGCGGCTCCAAGGGGGAAAAGACCTGATGATCTGCTCTCATAAAGATTACAACGTAGGAAACTCTATGGAGCAGTTCTACTCTGCCATATAGGGTCACTCTGAGTCAAATCTATGAGTTGGAATCGACTTGACAGCAATGGGTTTGGTTTTTGGTTTATGAGTCAAAGCGACTTGATGGCACAACAATGACATGTATCGTGTACTGTGTGCCAGACACTGTTCTAAGGGCTTTATGTGTTATTAACTCATTTAATTCTCATAACAACTCTGTAAAGTAGGTGCTATTACTACCCTCATTTTACAGATGAGGAGGAAACCAAGATACGGGTTGTCAAGGTCACACAGATAGTAAGTGGCTGAGCTAGAATTTTAAACCCAGTCTCTCTGACTCAAAAAACTGTGCTGTTAACCACTTCGCTGAATAGACGATAAGCTTCTGGACTGCTGCGCTTCTAATCCAGTGAATGCTGGAATCTCTACATCCCCAGCACCTAACACAGTGCCTTGGACTGAGAGGGCACATGTGTAAGTGAACAAACACACAAACTCACATCTATCTGACTGCAAAATTCTTGGTGTTCTAAAAATGCTGCTATACGTGCTAATTCTCCTGATGCAACGTAAAGTTTTGTTCATGATTTGTTAAGATTCATAGAGGTGTAGTATGTCATTTAATCTCTCAAGTTATGTTTCATATTAGTTTACAGTTAGATTATAATATACAGTATGTAAAGTTGAGCAGATCATAATCTAATTTTTGCTATTAGTCTGTATTTCCGTTGTCCTACGTAAGAGGTTTTGAAAAATGGAAACTCAGTATGTGATTAAATGTTTTTTGTTTTTGGCTTTTTTTTCACAGTGAAAATGAAATACGCAGAAAATGTTCCCCACAACATGACAGAAAAGGAATTCTGGACACGATTTTTCCAGTCCCATTATTTTCACAGGGACCGGCTGAATACGGGGTCAAAGGACCTCTTTGCAGAATGTGCCAAAATAGATGAAAAAGGTAATTTTTTATCCCTGATACAATCTTGCTGTGTGCTCTGTAGTCACTAGAGCTGCTATTTATTTATTTATTTATTAAATTTCTGAGAAAGATAAGACTTAGATCAACTTTTTGTTTTGTTGATTTTCTAGGGTTAAAAACAATGGTTTCATTAGGAGTGAAAAACCCACTACTAGATTTGACAGCTTTGGAAGATAAACCATTAGATGAGGTAAGAAGCCGTGAAAGGATTTATTAGATAAAACAGTCCTTTTCTAATCTTCAAAAGTTTTGTAGTTATAAAATTACCTTAAATGCAGAATTACACTTGAGAGAATGCAAAGCACTTATTTGGAGTGATTTATCAGAAGTGCTTTTCAGTAGCACCATTTGCTTTTAAAATTGCCTTCAAGAACTGAAATTCCTGTATGAGTTGCTTAAAACTTTTTTTTCTTTAAAAAAGCATTTTCTACCTCCTCATCAGCGTTTCTCTAATAAGGAAGACAACTTAGTGATGAGTCCAGCTTGATGCTCTAGCTAACATTTAATCTAATGAAATGTAGATAAATATTAAGAGACAAGGAAAAGGAAACACTTGTTGATTGCCCACTGTTTGCCAAACCTTGAGCACTCTTGTGACCCTTTTCCCACACTAACCCCAATATGGTTAAGCAGCTAGAGCGTCAAGGATGAGTTACCTTAGCATCATGTCTCCAGACCTATAAATTTGTCTGATCACAGAGAAAGAGGTGTTTCCTTCTGATCAAGACTAATTCCATTCCTGCCTCTATCTCATAGTCCTGGGACCTACATTCCTCAGTTATTCCCTTCACTCTTGTATTTTCATTTTCTTGCCCTTCTTTTTGTTTCTTTCCTGCTGGCCATATAAACATGCTCGCACCCTCTTTGTTTGTTTCCCCCCCTTAATTTGGTACATATTCTCACCAGCTGAGAAAACCAATGTTCAAATTTTGTGCTTATAATCTAATCATGAATTAGCAGAAAATAATCCTTGGTGCTTAGGTGAGTCATTTCCTTTATGAATTTTTGTCATGTCCTTGGTGAACCTCAACACATTCCGAGCATGCCTTCCTAAGCAGCCCAAGAAAATGAAGTTTAGTGATAGCTTAGTGTAATGGAAATTTTTTTTTCAATGCTTTTTTTGTTTTTTTAAATAAGAATGCTGGCATATTATACATGCATTTTTGTTAACTTTTTTTTCACTTTCGCTTAGTATCAGTCTTAAGCTAAATATACCATAGTTGTGAAGTACATAGACTTAAAAATCAAACTGTCAGGCTTTAGAGTCTGCCATTTTTTAATCTCTCTAAACCAGTTTTCTTATAAAGTGAGAATATAATAGTAGTGGCCTCATAGAATTGCTACAAGGGTCAAAAGAGCCTAGTAGACAGTAAGTGCTTCATGAGTAATAGCTGTTACTTTTATTATCTACATTTTTTTAGTGCCTACATAGTATGTTATTGTATGGGTATACTTATATTTATGTAAACATTTCCCTGTTAGAAGTATTGGTTGATTCGTGTTTTCCTCTTCCTCTGTCAACCTCTAAATGTTGTAACTGTCCCAGAATATGGTCTGAGGCCCCTTCTGAATACATTCTCTTCATTCCATTGCTTTAAATATTATGTAACTGTGACTCCAAAATACACTAGTCTGTTTTAAGCCTTGAAGGAGCCCTGGTGGTGCAGTGGTTAAGCACTGCACTGCTAACCAAAGGGCTGGCAGTTCAACCCCACTAGCCATTCCAAGGAAGAAGGATGTGGCCGTCTGCTTCTGTAAAGGTTCACAGCCTTGGAAATCCTATGGGTGGGGTAGGGGGCAGTTCCACTCTGTCCTGTAGGGTTGCTGTGAGTTGGAAGCAACTTGACGACAGTGGTTTTTTAATCTTAACCACAAGGTGTATCCAAAATTCTATATCCAACTTCTCTGCTTGGTATTTCCACTTAAATGTTTCTCAGACATTTCATCTTAACATGTCCAAAAAGGAACCTTTGATTCCCATCCTTATAAACCTGTTCTCTCTGGGTCTTATTATCCCAGTAAAAAGCATTACCAGGGACTCAGTTACTCGAGCCTAAAAACCTGGAAGTCTCCATGATTCTCCCCTTCTTTCACTTCCAACATCCAGTTTATCAACAAGTCATCTACAGTACATCTCTGATCTGTCTGTATCTGTGTAGCTCTGCTGACATACTCTTTGACTTTTAAATTACCACCAACTTTGGCTTGATTGCTTGTGTTAGCCTCCTAACTGATCTTCCTGCTTCCACTCTTGTTTTCTATAGCTTATTCTCCCCTAGCAGTAAGTTATGATATAAACCAGATCGTAATATTCTCCTGAGTAAAACTTTTCAGTGGCTTCTTACTGGACTTGGAATATAATCCAAGCTCCTAAAAGGCTCCGTTTGATCAGGCCCCTTCCTAGTGCTACCTCAAGTTGGGTCACTTTCACTGACTCAATATGCTCGAGTCCACAGTGGCCTTCTTTCGGTTCTGTGCCAAGTTTCTTCTACCTCAGGGTCCTTGCACATACCGTTCCTTCTACCTTCTCTTCCCCTGATTAGCTACTACTCATCTTTTAGACATCTGCTCTAATGTTTCTTCAAAGAGACCTTCCCTAAACACTATTTAAAGTAGGTCCCCTCCAGTCCAGTCACCCCATCATGTCACTGTCTTTATTTTCTTTATAACATTTGTCTCTTTCAAAAATGATCTTTCTTAAAATTATTTTACTTAACAATTATCAGTCAGTGTCCCCTCAATACAGTGTAAGCTGTGTGAGGCAGACTTTATTCTTGCTTACTGGCATATCTCCAGTGCATGGCATATATTAGGTACTCAATAATTATCTGATAAATGAATGAATGCCATATGAGTCTTTTTATGATCTCTTTCTTTTACCTCTGACGTCTCACTAATCCCTAACCCACCTTTCATTCCAACTATACTAAAAAAACATGTAATCCCATGACGTAATACACACTATCTTGCTTTCATAGCTTTGCTTAAACCGGTTTCTCTTGTTGAAAGTTTGTATCCCCCATGACTACCTGGCAATCTTATGGCACTCTGTGAAGCTTCCACCTCCTCTCCTCAAGTAGAATCGACTACTTCCTCTCTTAGGGCACCTGTAACACATAGCTGCATCTACTGGTTTACAGCTCAGCTTCCCATTAACTAGTATTTAGGCTCCTATGGGGTAGGGTGTTATCAGCTTTGCATGTATAGGGCCTAGTACATAACACGCATTCAATACTCATTTAATACTCATTTAATTCTTCGATATCCCATTTTGCTGAACTTGGGCAAGTTGATTAACTTGCCTAGACTTATATTAAGGTCCCTAGGTAGGACAAATGGTTTGTGCTCAACTGCTAACCTAAAGGTTGACAATTCAGTCCCACCCAACGGTGCTGCAGAAGATAGGCCTGGTAGTCTACCTCCATTAGGATTACAACCAAAAAAACCCTATGGAGCAGTTCTACTCTGTAACACAAAAGGTTGCCATGAGTCGAAACTAACAACAAGCTTATGTAAAAAAAAAAATGCGATAAAGTCAGAATTTGAACCTGTATCTTTCTGACTCCAAAGTCTGTGTTTGTTTTTGTTTCGTTTTGTTTTTTACTATATCCTATTCCTTCATTTAATGGTTTACTAACTAGATCAACAACTACTCTTTTTTGTTTTTAACTGATACATATATATTTTTTTTATTGTACTTAGGTGAAAGTTCACAGTTCTAGTTAATTTCTCACACAAAAATTTATACACATACTGTTATATGACACTACTTGCAATCCCTGTAATGTGACAGCACACTCCCCCTTTCCACCCTGGGTTTTCTGTGTCCATCCAACCAGCTCCCGTCCCTTCTTGCCTTCTCATCCTGGGTCCAGTCAGGAGCCGCCCATTTGGTCTCATGTATCTGCTTGAACTAAGAAGTACACTCTTCACAAGTATTATTTTATGTTTTATAGTCCAATCTAATCTTTGCCTGAAGAGTGGGCTTCAGGAATGGTTTTAGTCCTGGGTTAACAGAGTGTCTGGGGGCCATGGCTTTCAGGGTTCCTCCAGTCCCAGTCAGACCATTAAGTCTGGTCTTTTTATGGGAATTTGAGTTCTACTCCATCAGGGACTCTCTGTTAAACAACTGCTCTTAAGAAAAAAAATATACAGCGTTGAAAGTTTTTTTTTTTTTTTTTGTAGTACTTAAAAGGAGTAAGTGATGTTTCCTAATTTTTTATATGTAGAATGTCATTTACTTAATTTTACGTGTTTGCCTATAGGCATTTAGGAATGCTTATGAAAATTGTTAGTCCCTTCAGCCAGCAAATCCTTTCAACTAAGCATGTCTGTTATAATAGACAAGAAAATCAGAACCTTGTTTTGATTTTTAATCTACTAAATTGTTTCTCATAGGGCTATGGCATTTCCTCTGTGCCATCTACTTCTAATTCTTCTAAATCCATAAAGGAGAATAGTAATGCTGCCATCATCAAGAGATTTAACCATCACAGTGCCATGGTCCTGGCAGCAGGTCTCAGGAAACAGTTAAGTATACATACAGAGGCGCTAGGCTTGTCAAGATAGACAAATGGAATTGTGTTGTTCTGCTTGTGGTTTTTTAACATTAATTTTTTTCCCCTTTGTTTTAAGAGAAGCACAAAATGAACAGAACAGTGAGCCCAGCAGCGTGGATGGGAATTCCAGAGATGCAGACTGCTTTCAGCCAGCAGTCAAAAGGGTATGAGCAAAAAATCTGGACCATTTAGGACTCAGGTTTCTCCAGATACCTTACATAACTGCCAGTACTTTATGTTAACTCTTAATTATTGCATGTGACTCAGTTCTTCTGACCAAGGTATTAAGTGTTTGGATTAAAAGTAGAGCATTATAAAGAGTACCTCCTCAGCTTTGGCTTGCCAGTCAACTTCCCATGGAATCAGTCAACCATTTTAATTGGTTTTTTTCCTTTCACGTGTATGGATCGACACATAGTTTTGTTTTCTGGGAAAGATGATATAACAAAGGCAATATGACAGAAAGAAAAACTTAAGTTTCATGTGTATGATATAAAAAGAAAGTGATTTGTCCCTCTTGTTAAACCTGTTATTTCAGAGCTGGAACTGTCTTCTCATTATTAAATATTGAAGAAATCGTTTGGAGTGGGAGAGTATGGACAGAGTTATCTACTTTGTATATTTCTTATTTCCCTACAACTTTGCCAAGTTATTCTACCCCTATATATGTGTGTATCTATACTATA